TTTCTTAATGTGCAAAAGTTTTCTGGGCTTTGCACTAAAGAACAAAACAAAGAGCAGGACAGCAACAAAACAAAAAAACGAAGAAACAATGAAAACAAGTAAACAATAATTGCAATTTTATTTTATTTTCGCTTAAAAGTGAACGCGTTACGGGGCGTGGAAACTTTAAGGACCAAGTCGTTCCCAGTCCCGAGTTCTGGGTCCCGTCTACCCGACTTCCTGCCATATGGCCCGCCTGCTTGACAAACAGCTGCGTTTGTCATGTGCTAGCCTGTGAGCAATATTTCCTGCCAGACGCCAAATAAAAATCCCCAAACTTATGGCGCTGACATTGCCTGCTTCTGCTACTAGTCCTAGTCCTCGCCCAAGTCCTCGTCCTGCTACTGGCTCTGGCCCTTATCGAAGGCAGTCTGGAGCTGAAACATTTCATGCATAGCCCTGGGAATTAACAGCACATTGAAGCGTTGCTTTTTCTTACGTTTTTGTTGGCCCGTTGTTCAATGGCCAGACATGTGCAGCATGTATGCATGCAAACGATGCTTCGGAGACATTGCGACGTTGATAAGTTTGCATATAAATTGTGACACATGCTCCCTGGCAACCAGAACATACTTTAAAACCGAACTTGATGGGAAACAGCCAAGACGATGGCGCCGGGCAGTGGGAGTTGGAGTTGGAATGGGAGTGAGCGAGGACAACGTTATTTATGTTCGGGGCAAAACTATTAGCTGAGATTTTGATTAAATTTCTAAATACCCGGACAAGAGGAAAAGGAAACTTCAAGGCAAATTCTTGGCCAGCTGGCGGGAAAAGTTGAGTTCATATTGGAGCCGGCAGTCCGTTGCGTATGAGTAATGCATGCCCAAACAGAAATGTCAAAAGGCTCTGAACTTTGCCACACATTCACAGCCCCCAGACCGACCGACCGACCGACCGACCGGCAGACAGCCAAACGACAGAGACAAACAGCAACGCCCAGCTTCCAGTCACCCCAAAGGACCCCAAAGACCGCCTCCTGACATCGTAGCTGCCTGGTAGCCTGGTTGCCTGGCTGCCACTGATGCTGCTGTGACATGCCCCAAAGTCCTCCCAAGTGTCTGCTGTGTCGCATTGAATTTATTGGAATTTTTGTTCTGCTTTTGAGCAAGGGCTAGCCTCTGACTCGGGCCACCGGGCCACAAAATATTGTATCTCCGTTGTCTTTCCCACTCGCCGGCGAACAATTTCGTTAATGTTTCGCTGGCTTGTGGTTGACAGCGGTCAGCCGGTCAGCGGCTATGGTATGCTCAAGTTCAGACAAACCTAAATATTCGATGAGATTTAGTTTTCTATTACGTTGAGGTTTAAGGAAGGTCAGTGGCAGTGGCAGTGACTGTGTCAGTGCTGCTGTTGAGTAATTTTCAGGCCATAAGCTCCATGTTTTATTTATTCTGTGGGATTGTGTGCAGCTCAATGGGTTGATTGCCAGCCAAAAGCAACTAGAACAAAAAAAATATTGTAAAATTAATCTAAAATCGAGTATAAATCCTGCCAGTCTGGAGTGCACAAGAAAAATGCCTTAAAATAATATGCAATTTTGTGTATCGGTAATTAACTGTTTTTGATAGCCATATCCGTTAGCTAATCCCCTCTCTAGGTGCTATTCTTGACCTTTTCTGTGCCACTTTTTGTTGGCTCTGTTGTTTTAATGGGCAAATAAATAAATATCGATTATAGCCCTCCCGGTCAGGTGGCCAAAGTGTAAGCAACATTTTGGTCGCTTTCAACAGACAATGGGCCCCCTGGCGCAGAGCTGTCAGCTGGCGTGTTTAAAAACTTTGCCCAGGACCCAACCGAACTGGACTGAGTCCCTAGGCGATTGGCCTCCATAGAAGCTGATCTGCTAAAGCTGGAGAGCATGGTAGAGGGAGGGAGCTGGAAGGCAGAGATTGCTGTGGCTGTATGATAAGACTAATGCCGCCCGCTTGGCTAATTGAAAAAGTTGCATTCCTCATGTTGTTTGGGCCGTGTTTAGTCAGTGGAAAACGAGAAATTGTTGGTAACAACAAAAAAAGCACACAAAATACAAGAACAAGAAATCGTTATTATTATGGATCCTGTGCAGGAGGGGGAGAGGGAGAGGAGGCACACAATTGTGGTCCAGTTTTGGGGGGGGAGGCTCTTGACCAGGTCGGCATTTGCATAATAAGCCCTGTGAATGGAACTGTGACTGCGACTTTGGCTACGGCTCCAGTTACGGTTATTGTTACAGAACAGTTACAGCCGGAGAGTTGCTCTTACGGTCCATGGTGGCCGGTGCCCAGCGGCGCATGAAATTGTTGTCTGCCTTCAGGTTGGGCTTAAAAATTAGAAAGGAGATGCCTGAAGAGAGAGAGAGACGTAGAGACCCATGGGCTGTTCTAGGACCGTAGCCAAAGCGGAAAGCATAAATTCTCGTACGATATGAGAACAGCCAGCAAACATCCGCACATAAATAAATCATAAATATTAAATGAAAATGAAAAATGTGCAGCTACAGCAGCAGCAGCAACAGCGGGGATGAGCTGGAGCTAGGGTGTAGTGGGGCGTGGAAGGAAGCGCACAGAACCTGTCAGCGAGTGCCTGGGCAGGGAATAATGCAGGAGCCAACAATGCATCCGACGATCGCATGATTAGCGGCAGTCCAGAGCCACTGCTAGAGCCAGAGCCAGAGCCACTTGTCCAATGACTCACCAGAAGGAGAGGCAGCAGCAGCAGCAGCACCAGACGCACACCCAGACCCAGATCCAGACAAAGTATGTGCTTGGGCCCCAGGCAACGCACGATATTCTCACAATGCAGAAAATTACTAAATTCGATATGCAATTTATAAACCCAGAGACCCACCGACCAACCGACCGCCCATCCGACCTGCTCTCACCCATAGGGCGCCTGCCGGGGCTCCTTTGGTCTCGGACTTTGTCTGGCTTTTTTGGCAGCAATGCTGAAAACGATTTGGTAAGTACTGTTTGTTGATACCCAGCCAAGGCTTAAGTGTACCCAGAAGCGAAAGCAACAAAATCCTGGCAAAAATACTCTGCTTTAATGCGCTTTGCCAGCCAGCCAGCCAGCTCATGGCTGGAGATGGAGATGGGATGGGATGAGGAGTAGAGAAGCGGACTTTGCCTTGTTATTTGAAGACGTCTAAGCTGCAACTGAGGCAAAGAAGCAAAAACTATATTCATTTTCAATTTCCCTTTAAGGGTTTTTTTTGTTTTCGCCCCCGTTGGCTTATAAACTTGCTCCAAAAACCAAAAAGAATTCCCTTTCAATTTGTATCTGCTTGTTGTACTTTGTTACCTGATTCAGTCTAATGCAGTGCAACTATCACTAAGGTGATTTGCATACATATATACAGAGAGAATGGCAAATGAAGAGCCAGCTCACTTCTTTAACTCTTGATTAAGCGACTTAACTCCTGGGCTTCTGCTCAGCTTCGGACAATGTTTTATTGCCGCAATCTCAACGCAGCGCAGTCAATTATTTATTATGCAAAGCCATCAGTGTTCAGGCCAACAAATTCTGGCCCGGAACCATTAAAGTTCTGAAACAAAACCACCACTCACAATCGCTCTCCCTCTCCTCATGCAGGGACCAGATGATTTAAAAAGCGTTAACATATTTTGGGACGCTTACTTGGCGGTGGGTCACAGCCGCAGACACACGCAGCTGGCTGAAATAATCATTAATCATTTCTTAACGTGGCCAGAACGACGGTGGCGCGCCAGAAAGTTTTCACTCCTCGCCAGGTCGTCGTCGGGTCACAGTCATAAGGCATTAACTTGCCGGGCACTTGTACAGGAGCCACCTCGTGTGGCTCGGAGTCAGAGTCAGAGTGATATTATCAAGTTGATGCCACACCCACATCCACATCCACAGACCTCGTATCCCACCTTGTGGGGGGCGTTGGGCAACCGCGACAAATTTGAAAAATTGCTCAAAGTTTTAGTGCCCCATCTTCGTTCTCCACGGCACTCGCATGACATACGAGCTGAAATAAATATTTTTTCCCCTGGCATGTTACAAATGTTTCGAGTCGGATGAAAAGTTTGCCTCATTGTGAGGAAATTTAAGAGCTCCCTCCCGTCTCAGTCCCTCCAGGGAAGTTTTCTTCCCTTTGCGGAATTGTTACGAGTATTTCAAAATTTAAATAGCCCGGCAACGGCTTTACAGAATTACTCGACAATTTTATGGCTGCCGTGCATAAAATTCGTATGACGCTGCAAGTTTACCGTGCCACACCAGACCCCAGACCCCGAACCATGCCCCAAGACCCGACTTTCATCAGCTGTTTGCCGGCGACGGCTGCTGCTCCCGGTGCGTGTCCGTCTGGAGATGGTGGATGCGGAACGAAGCCGAATGCCAAGTGTCTGGGAAGTGTAAATCGGCTTTGTCGCCGCTTGTTGTGTGCACAATGTAAACACAAACTGAATAATACTGGTTACTGGTCACAGAGTGAGAGAGAGACTTTTGTTCTCGCTCTCTCTATAACGTTCCAGAGAGTTCGTATAAGAGAGTTCCATTCTCTGTCCGCGACGCATGCGCAGATCTATCAAAGCAAAAAGTGCTCCCCAGCCAGTGTTTTCTTTGTTGTATGTGAATTATTTCTTAAATCTGTTTGTGGTTTACTGTGGTTCATGTGCGTGTTGCCAACTAAGGAACGCGCTATATGTAACAAGATTAGGCCAAGTATTTTTATCTTATATCGAAAAGCTTTTCTGAGCCAACAGAGAATTTTATAAAAAGAATTGACAAAGTTTGCCTTGACAAGAGACCTGAAAGTCCATAAAGGTAACATTTACATTTAGCATAGGTACATTTTTAATTTTATTTCAACCGCTTAGAGTCATGTGTGAAACTGTTGTATTTAAAGTGAACAAAGTCTTGGATGTTAGCTTTGTTTTTGTTCACACAGAGTTATAAAATGTAATTTGGGTTGAAGTTCGTTTTTAGATTGCTTTTAAATCATGTATGCAAAGTTTCTTGAGAATTTTAGTTGCAGCCAATATGTCTGCAGATAGTTTCTGTTTTTTAGAAGGAATATATTCGTCTTCGGTCTTGGACATCTGTAAAACAAATAGACATATTATATTTATTGGCTAATAAGAAAATAAAATAGGAACAGAATATACATATAAAATTATATAGGTGAATGCGATTAGAAGTATTTACATGCGTGGTATGATTAGTTTTCTACTCCTTCATTGGTGGATTTATACCAAGGGGTGGTTTCAATGCCTTCGAGCATTTTCAAAACATCATTGAAAGTGCTGTTGGCGTCACCAACAGCAGATAAAATTTCAGACTGGTCTAATTCTTGTTCACTTGCGACACTGGCTGGAGCTGAAGCTGAAGCTGGAGCTTCTGTATCTTGACTGGCAACATTTGGTTGGGCATTTTCGACACCTGAGCCTATTTCATTATCCTCATCAACAAACCCATGAGTTATAAAGTTCTCGAGCTCTGCTACCGTTTGGATATCATATTCAAGTCCACAATCTGATATATCCATTATTTTTCCACCCACTGGGGTCGGATCAGTTCTTGTCTGATTAACGACAGTGTATCGAGGGGCAAAAATACTTTCTACTGACGCATTATGCGGTGGCTCATAGAACTGGGGGATAATAGGTGCGGAATTTATTCAGGTTCACAGACAAAGACTGCAAATGATCTTTCAGTTGCGTTTTTTCAGTTTTTTTTTTTTGTATGGTTTAGTTTAAGTTTTTTATTATATTCAACCCACCTTTTGTTTATACTGTTTCTTAGGCGGCTCCAAGCATTTATGTAGTTCACATGTCTCGTTGCCCAAGTCCCAGACGGGCTCCTCGCATACATTACCGTTACGTTCCCCACCGCAATCGCGGAATACCATCTGGCGTCTGTCCGACAGGATATGCTTGCGGCAGTGCTTGGTGGACTGTATCGCTGGCTTTCCACACTGATGCCCAAACAAATTGAAGACGCACTTTGAGACGTAGAAACTCTGGCGTACGTAATCCGGCTTGGACTGGTCGCGTTTCTCTCTGTATCTCTTGTAGAAATATGCCTCTTTGCCCTGTCGACGATGATAAGTGATGAGAGCCCTCAGCTTTTTGTAGAGCTTCATCTCGTGCGGCGACTTCTTAATTTGATCCTTAATGCTGCCTGCAAATGGCAATAAAAGCATGAATACACGTGGCATAGGCAGAAAATATATGTCAACTTTACAGTAGGTTTCCTGTTCTTTGCGTAAGTCAATTAAATACTGACGGCGGCGCTTCCTCATGTGTCGTGCCAAAAACTTGAGCTCCTCGCCGTAAAGAGTCTGAAGTTTTTCCACTTTTCTTAGAGTTTTATTCACAGCCTCGGCGCGAGTGTAGACGCCGCCATGCCTAAAGTTGAAGACATCATTAAAAGACATCACAACAATTGGGGGCAGATCTTACTTCAGAGGATCATCGTAGTCCGAGTCAATGCTTTCATAATCAGACTCATCAAATTCGACATCTGGTAGGGTATTCCTTACACACGGCGGCTCCTCATCGTCGCTGGAAATATCGGATGCATAGTCGATGACGCGCTTACGCGAAGCCACCGCTTCTGCCACATGCTCCACACTGTTGCGATAATCCTGCGAGACTGTACGGAAAATAAATACCAAGTTTTTAACCCCAATTGCGGAATAATAAATGGTCTTACGAAATGGGGTCACTTGCGGTGACACAACATCAATCACATCATCATCGTCATCACCATTATTCTCCACGGGCTTCGGAGCCTCGGGCTCCTTCACATTTAAGTGATGGGCAAGACTATTGAGCAGCGTCTCATTGGTCTCCACGCCACACCGAAAACGACCCAAGGTCATCTGGGTCTTTCGCACTTGCAGCTGACGATTGTGCTCGAAGCAGAGGGGGGTCTGTATCTCGTTTAGCTTGGCATCAAATTTGGGCACTGCGTTTATGCACTGCCGCTTGTTCAAATACTCAAACGCGCAGCGCCGATACGGAGCCAGTGGATCCCACAGAATGTGGCGAATGCAAAAGTTGTACCCTTCAATACGAACCAAGCTGCAAGTGTATGTCGGGTTGGCGCAGTACCTGGCCTTGGTCAACTCGCTGTGGATCTGGTCGCGCAGCTGCTCTTCCTTTTCCGGGCTGCACTTCCCATTGGATCGCGAGCACTTTGGCATTTTACTTGGAGAGAAACAAGCCATTTCTATTTCGATACCCGGCACTTTTTAATAACAAAATAATTCCTGGAAAAAAAGTGACGCTTGACAGGGATGAGTTTACAGTGAGCTGAAGTGTATCGATGTATCGATATAAGTATTGCGAAGAATTAACTTGAGAAATTTGCTTCGCTTTGGAACTGTGGAAAATGAACATTGTTTTTAATTTTTATTTCATTTCAAATATTTGTATTGCCTAAATATCTGCCATCACACTATTCTTATTGCAGTGGATTATTCACGCTATGCTACAAATGAACTCCTTTGTGGGTATTGCATTTCACTTGACTTGTCTGAGAGGCAACAAAAATAGATTGGTGCGGTTGAGGGGTAAAACTTCTTGGCCAAACATCAAATTCACGCCGATTTCTGTCATTAGAGCAACACAAAACTTTGAAAGGAAACTCTTCAGGCTAAGAGCCCGCCCCCACCCACCCTCAACCCAGTCCACAGAGACCCAGCACCAACATCGCCAGAGGCACAGCCACTGTCACTTGGGCCGTGGCGCGTTTTTAATGGTCAAAACTTTTATGTTTATTGTTTATGCGTTGAAGCAAAAATTTTCATGAACTTTTCATTGTTCCGGTTTGCTGGAGGAAAACTTTTAGCATACAATGCACTTTAATTTCGCTGCCCCTCTAGCACCAGCACCAGCTTCAGCTCCAGCCAAAGTAGCAGCAGCAGTCCCAGTTCCATGTACCCAGTTCGCAGTTCCTGCCAAAGAAATGCTGTGGAAACAATGCGATGGCAAATGTTGCAGCAAAAGTTTATGCGCCAGAAGCTTGGCCAAATGACAGCGATTGGAAGGGGTATGAGAAGAAGGGGGGCATGAATGCGGGTGCGGGTCAAATGGCGGGCGACAACCTTCAATGCCATTGACTGTCCGTCCGGGCGTTTCATTTGCGCGTAATATGCGCGCAGGCCAACTTTGTTTTATTGGCTGGCAAATGCGAATAAAAGTTGGCATTCCACGGACCTGCTGCCACACCAAATGTGGCATGCCCATGCCCATCGAATCTACTTGCGAGGGACTCGAGTCTAGTCCAGTTCAGCAGTTCAGTTAATTTTTTCCATTCAAAGGCGAAACAATGAAAATGCCTGAACATTTTTTGCCCCGTAGTCATCTTGTTAACATTTATTCTCTCTCTCTCTGTCTTTCTCGGCAGCTCCATCTCCCTGGGCACTCACTCTCGCTTTGCGGACTTACATTGTAAAAGTTACTTCCAGTTGTTCCCTTCTCGGCTTTTTTTAGCCAAGCCATGACCAAAGTTTTGGCCACTTAAAGCAGTTTGTCAGTCAGTTCTGGGGAAGCGTTAACTTCCAGAGATTCTGTGGAGCTTGCATTTTGGGTGGCATGAATTTTCGGTTTACTTTCAATTTTCGCAATCATCACATTATGCAATGGAGTCGTTTGTGCTTGCAACAAAGTTTCGTCCAAAGACGCAAAACATTCTGCAGCCGGCGCCAAATACTAGGAGGCAACTTTCCGACTCCAGGCATACGCTCAACGCTTCTAAGCGGATTTTGGGAGCAGCTTCTCCCTGTTGATGACACAATAAATTGCTGAAAATGTCCAACAGGACACAAACAAGCAGAAACCCCAGGAAAGTGCCATTCATATGCAGAATGAAAGCATTTTTCCCAATGCTGAATTTGTTTATTTGTTGGGCCAGGGCAGAGAAGTCTATATATGTATGTATGCATGCCCAACAAGCGGCGGCGGTTGTTGCCCAGTGTCAGCCACAGTTGTTGCACAAATGCCGCTCACAGGGCGAAATATATATGAATATTTGCAGAATATGGTTCGGCTGCAGCTGAAAACAAATCGAATTCCTTCCTCTATTGGCGGCGGGATCTATGACAGGCTAAAGCCACAAAATAAAAAGTGTCTACATTCTCGAGTCGGAAAATGATGCCGCTTGCAGCGTGGACACATGGGGTCTGCTGGTGGAGGCGGTGCGGCAGGGGAGTGTAAAATTGTGACACAAAGTTATGACAATGATGAAACGGGAACGACGTCGTCGTCGTGCTCGCTGATGATGATGATGAGCCGCAGCAGCAGCCGCAAAGGCAGGAGCATCGCTGGAAGTGGGAGCAGGAGCGGCAGAGACGGAGTGCTGCCATGGACAACGATGCCGGCTGCCTGCTGCCAGCTGCCAACACCGGTGGCACGGGAGAATAAGACATTTCTGTGTCTCATCCTCTTTGTGGAGCCTTTGTGGAGCTTTACTTTTTGTACGTACTTTTCCTGCCGCAGAAATACAATTTCATTTGATGTCTATGTGTGCGATGAAATTTTCGCACATTTACATAAAAAAGATGTGAAAGACCGAGCATGTGGCCAAGAGCCAGGCATGAGAATGCAGTCAAATTACAGGAGTCCCCCCAGCTGGAGGCCAAGGGACCGAATCTCATATGACGGAGTGGAATGCCCTACACCGAAGTTGGGTATCCACAGAACGCCCATACACTCACATGTATATCGTTGGTAAGTGGAGCAGCCACTTGCAAAATCCATTCTGAAACCATATCAAGTGCAATCGTGGAAAGTTCATCAGCATCCTTACCACTTTCCTTCAATTTTGAACTCGGATTACTGAGACATTACTGGCAGGGCATTGCCAGGCATTCGGAGCTGACATTTACATACTTTCGCTAACTTGACTCGAAGTCAGCTTGGAATTTGCATGCCAGAAGCCAGAAGCCAGAACGGGACGATGCCAAGTCATTCCGTCACATGTGACATTGCATGCCACATTCCACAAAAAAATGAATGGCAATGAAATGGGGAAACGGTGAATGGGAGAGTGGGGGGAATTTGCCAAGCAACAGAATTTTACGAGTAGCAAACACACTTAAAAAGTAATAAAATATTTTATTGCGACACAGAAAACTGCACATTGAAAATATGCAAACTTATTTCTTGTCGAGAACTTTTGCAAAATTCTTTGAAAAGTAGAAATGACTTTAAATGAAGCCAAGCTGCTCGAAGCGAGCAGCAAATTAAATATTCATTAGTGGAGGGGATCAGGCGTGACGACACCCTCTCTGATGTCGGGGACTTTGATTAAGCATCTAATGCCGCATCTGTAATGCCCCCATAAGGACTTGAGCCACTAATCAATAATGCGCTGCTCTTCAAGCGGCTGCCGCCTCAAACTCAGCCTCAGCCTCAGCCTCATGAAGCTAATTCTGCTGGAGCTCCTCTGCTGTTTGCTGTTTGATGTTTGCTCTGTGCGTGTCATCCCAAGTGGCAGTCGTGCAGCAAGGACCCACACTTGACTGCCACCCTTTGCCCCGCTATCCGTTATCCAGCACTCTAGAGCTGACGTTGACGCAGTTCATCAATCAAATCACTGGCTGTTAGTCAAGCAGTCATGTGATTTGATTGATTCGCGCTAAAAATCTCTGCTCAAACAAGTGACAGTCCCGTCCCGCACAGAGACACATGCATTAATAATGCGGCTGGAAATGAGGAGTAGAAAGCGTCGCCAATGCTCCTCCGACTGCATTTACGCGAACATCAAGCGCTCTTTATCCGCGTACAGGCGGCACGTCAGAGTGGGAAAAACAGCAATGTTGCAACCACAACAGCTGCCACTTGCATTGATTTCAAATGGGGCGGCATGCCACCGCTTCCAGCGCGGCTGTAACGAGACAAAGAATGAGAAGGAGTCATGGAAATCGATAAGCCAGAGTGTGTGCTGGTGTGTGTGTGTGTGTGTCTCCTCTGTCTCTGTAAGTCTGCTGGCAGCGGTGACAGCTACTTAGGTGGGGACCAGGACCGGGACAAGGCATTCATTTGTCACTTGGTTGGGTATAAATTATTTACAGAAGACAATGTTTGCCTTGAGCTCCGGAGGCATCTCCAAGCAATTCCAGCAACTGCTCCCCGGTCGCCTGTTTAGGCATACAAAAATTGTAACGTCAATGAAATTGCCCAATTTTATGTTCAATCAATAAATACGGCCAGCGAAATGCCATATGTACGTGTTGGCTGCCTCAATTTATTTGGTATTCATGCAACATTAACATGGATTTTTATTAGTATCATGTTTTTGAAAAGGGTTGCCGCCGCCCCAACTAATAAAACTCCCAGGCACTTGCCACACGAAATATTGCCGGCCGGGAGTCCGGTATCGACATTGCCCAGACCCAAAAGGCTTAGCGGAGAGCTCGGGAAAACTGTATCGTCGTATTATGCCTACGTATCCAATGCAAAACATATAAACCCAAGGCAAACGACAGGTGATGGAGAACCGAAAGGTGAGAGTCGATGCGATGGAAGGTTGGTTGCCCTTTGGCACTCCACTGTACGTGACTCTTGCCCTATGCTACTTGGTATTTTGTATTTTGTATTTGCCTTTTGCCTTTTGCTGCTCCTGTCTAAGCTGTGAATGGTTGGGGTTATATGTAGCTACGTCTGTGGCTATGGCTATGGTAAGGATCAATACCTTCTTTGATTGGCACTTTGAATTTAAAGCATTAAATTAGCCCGGATAGCCATGACAGCAGCTTTCATGAGAAGTGGCCAGATGTGGGCTAGTAAACTCTACGGAATCCGTTGCCCTGGCCTCAACTGAACTTACCCCAAAAGCATTTCACGGCAGACAGCCAACATCCGTCGTACATTAATTCATTAAATATGCCCTGCTATACAAAGCCAAGAGTCCATGTAAATGCTGGGAAGATCCACCTCAAAGGGGGGAAACGGGGGGACCCCTACTCCTCCCAGTCCCATTTGTCAAGCTGCTAGCAGGAGCCAACAAGTGTCTGAACTTTCTCTTTGAGCTTTTGCTCCTTTTGCAGCGACTTGTAGCTTAGCAATCCTGCGCGACCCTTGCCCGGCACAGAATGTCTCACGTTTCAGCCACTTTTCGACCATAATTACAGCCAAGAGCAATTTGAAAAACACTTGATGCTGGCAATTAAAAAGTTGAGCAACATTTTTCTCAGGCGATGCAGCAGCTCCACGGCAGCTCTTAGCCGCGCTGCTTCGGGCTGCAAGTGTAATTAATTAGTTTTCAATTTCACTCGGCTAAATATGCATAATTTATGTGCCAGTACCGGTGCCGGTGCCGGTGACTGTGACTGGGCGCCAACCCTGGGCATTAGGTTGGTCGTTGAAAGAAGCCACATCATGGATGGTCATAATACAATTTACTAGCCATTACTTGCTCTCTCTCTCTCTCTCTTTTCGAGCAGCCATTCTTTCTCCTATTTGTTGCCATCTTCCTTTTCCTTTTCTTCGGGGTACGCCACTTCTTTTGGCGAGAGGCAATTTGTGTGCACCAATTACTTTGTTTGTTTGCCGTGCACCATGCGACAACTTGCGGGCAAGACGACACTGTGCTCCTGTTATCCTGCTGCTGCTGCTGCTGCTGCTGCTGCAGCTACTGCCACCGGCATTGCTCCTGCTGCACTTCACTTTGCTGCGTTTCCTCTATTTCCGTTACAAACATTTCCGCTTCGCATTGCTGCAAATTTATTGTTTCCTTGTGGTTTTCGTGTGCGTGTGTGCGATTGTGTGTGTGTGTGTGTGTGTTTGTGTGTGGCTAGATGTCCTTTTGCTTGTCCTTTTCAAGCACTTCTGGAGGATACTCTTGTGCGCTCCTTCAACCTAATGGGTATGGCACCTTCAAAGGGATCTTTCTCTGGCTGTGGGACAGGCTCAATCAAACAGTAAAATGGCGGCAGAGCGGAAGTGCTGTCACTACATCCGGCAAACGACCCACGACCCACACTCACCACCCACTGCTGTGCCCTTCCGGCCGGAAATACGCATTTAGTTGCATGTGAAATTGTTACATTTTTGTCAACAGGCAAATTTTGTTATTTATTTCCACGCATTTCTTATTTCGCAGACGTCCTTGCCCCACGACTTGGCGAATGAAAAATTGAAACGTCGTTTCTAATAAATCATTTCGGCAAATTCAGAGCGACTTGTTTGTTTCGGCTGCCGTCGCCAACTGTTTGTGCTTATTTCCGTTTCCGGCCGGAGCCCTGCGACCCTGGCCCAGCTCCAAGCACCAAGCACCAAGCACCCAGACCCCAGACAGAGGCCGTGGCCACAATTTTTTGCCCCTTCTCGAGTACACGGCGGATGTTTTCAGCCCCGTCATTGCAGCTGACATAATTAATTACCCAAGCGCGCGAGCATTTCCCAGCGGCTGCGTGTGCCGTGCCGCCTCACCTGAGGCGCTGCCACCACTGCCATGCCAAGGGCCACCTTCGCAAAAGGAAAGCGGGTGTTCTCGTCCACAGATTTTGCGCGCGGCAGAGCTGCTGACAGGAAGAGGGTCGACAGCAGCACCGAGCGGCACCGACTCGCCATAATTGGATCGCTTTAATTATATGAATTTATGCGGGGCAGTCCGTTATTGCGGTGACTGTGTTTGTAATCCACACGGCCTGACAAATCTTCCTGTCACGACACACACCGCCCGCATCGCCTTTGAGAAGTCCCTGAAAATATTCCAAGAGATTCGAGGAGCAGTGCGAGTAAGTATAAGCTCCAATCGGATTGTATCCTCTTGGTTTTTGTATCCAATTAGCATACATACATAAATGATGCCAAAGAAAAGTGTTGCATAAACGCTTGCCTTGGAATCATTTAAAATGCAAACACAGGGGTCGAGTGACCCCAAATGGAATAATAAATGATTTGAGCAGCACGCAAAAGATTTTCCATCACTCTGCATTCAATTTAAATTGATAATCTCATTGGCAACTTTCACCTCAAACTGCTCTCAATTCCGCATGGCATTCATCTTTGATGGAGCTGACGATGGAGATGCAGAAGCAGTACACAGACGAAACTGATTGCAGATTTATCGCAAAATCGGGGCTGATATTTGGCCCGTGGTAACAACACTTTTCAATTAGGCGGCACAGAGAGGCACAGTGCAGGGCACAGCACAGCACCGAGAATGAGGTGCCAGGGCCATTATCGCAGTGCAAGTCAATTAGACGCCGCTGGGTGGGCGGGCCAAAGACCTCTGTATTTGTAAAGACGTAGTGCAGCATTTGCCCTTGCCTTTGCCCTGTGGTGTGGGCTGGTGTAATGGGAGAGGAGACAGGGTCTTGCCAGCATCAAATTAAGTGAGTTGCAATTGGTTCCACACACACAATGGCTGCTCCTATGGCTCCTGCTGCTCTTGCTACTCCTGCTGCTGCTGCTGCATCCTGCTCCATCTCAAATCAAACTTTCCAATCGAAGGGGCAGATCTAGAGCAAGATTTGTGTGCCGGAATATCAGAATGTATGCAGAGAGAGCATATGAGGCAGGGCGACCTGCCTTGGATGAGTTATCATTTCAGGCACATTGATTTATGCAGTCGCCGGGAAAGGCAACCTGCATGGCTGCTGAGATAAGAATTAATTGGCAAGTGCACTGTGCAAATAAATTGCATAGCCGGGTACGGGTCTGCACTGTGTGGCATGGCTGGGGTGGGTGGTGCAACAGCGCGGCGGTGGTGCACTGTGCAAACACAGATGGAGCTGGGTCCCTGGTTTACTGCTGCTTTTAATGTAAATGTGACAAATGTTTTACGGCTGGCTGCGTCTGCATTGACTCTGGGCAAACACCTGTAAATGGATTGAAGCCACAGCACACTCAGCCGCCACAGGAGCGGAGTGTGAGTGTCCTTCAGAAGGGAGTGGCAACTGAAACTTTTTTTTGAACATTAATCAACATTATTCGATCACGTTGACAGGAGGAAACCCACTGATCGAAAGTAAATAGTGTGTGCAGTAGCGTGTGTCAATAATGGGTCCTGTTAGTCCGCACCTGGAACTCACATATTAGCTGCCACAACAGCAGCAGCAACAGCAGCCATGGACCCCCAGTGAGGCAGGTTGTTTGCATGCTACGCATGCCTTAACCGGCACTGGCCTTGGTGCCACATGCGCATCCATACCCACAGAGAGTCGGCAACCAGCTCGCTGCACTTCGTATTGGATTTTTGTCCACATTTGGGATTTGCATTGCCACATTAACCCTGCTCGCTCCTCTCAGTCCAACGTTCCATCATTCGGTCTGCATGCGGTCTACTCTACTCTGCTCTGCTCTGTTCTGCTCTGTTAAATTTAAAGCAAGGAGAGAACATAAATTGAAGGGCAACTGATCGATCAATATTATTGCGCCTGCGGTGGGGCAATCAACAAAATGAAGAGTCCCTCTACAATGGCCCCAAACCAAAATAGAGGAGGGAGTCGCGTCATGCGTCGTCCCTTTGGGAGCCAGTGCCTGTGTTTTCTATGAACTCCATCGTTGAGTTTTCTCTTCCATAACGGATAGCTGATAACGGATGATGAGGATGAGTTTAAGGGATATTAATTCCCAGCGGGTTGAGTTGCATTTAATTTTATACTCCATTCATTTATGCTTTTTCCCCTTGACAATTTTTATTTAAGTATTTAATTTTCCGGGAAATTCCTCCCCTAACATTATCAGCATCGTTTCAATTGGCAATTGTCTAATTAGTTTTCCGCTGATGAAAATCCTTGTCTGTGTCAGCATTACGCGAATGCCCGGGCTTCTCCTGCGGGTCCTTGCTCTGGGGTCGAGTGTACGCAATAAATAAGAAGTCGCCTTCATTGATTTCTGCTGAGAGCAGCAGCAGCAGCAGAAGCAAGCAAACATTTAATTAAATTGAAGACCATCCTCTGGCCCACACCTCCTCCCCTCCTCCTCCTCCTCTTCCTCCACCTCGCGCACAGACTAAACACTTTTATTTCAGTGGCAATTAAAATTACGTATACGTGATGTTGCCTGCCAATGCCCCCAGGGTCGATTGATTAATGGCCTCGCACAAATGGAAGGAAAAAAAAATATATATATGCAAATTGAAGATTTATTAAAGCCTGAGGCTGGCTCTGGTGCTGGTGCTGGTTCTGGTTCTGTCCCTGGGTCTTGGGGTCTTTGGGTCGTGTGCTCCTATCCACGGGCGTTAACAGTTGACAGTAATTTCCTGCATCTGGACGCGCTCAAAGCAGAATGCAATTTCCGATAAAGCGCACGGCTCTTTTGCCTGTTTTTTATGCACCATCCAGCTGCATGTGTCATCATCCTTATGTCTGCCGCATGCTGCTGTATACCTGAGCCGGGGCTATGTTTTATGACGGCAAGAACAAAGGCTTATACTCGTAAGTGCAAGTGAGTGGAGGAGACAGCAGCTGCTTCTGCTGGTGCTACTGCTGCTATAGTGGCCGTAAAAAGTATCCCCACATATTCGTAAGCGAATGACAAAGTAAAAAAACACATCAAAGCTGTCTACGAGGCACGGGTATGCGGGGCCATTGCTGACCGCCATGGCATGAGGCGGAACACGGTAGACAGCAGCCGACTGAAAGGCAGGAAGAAGGCAGGCGGCAGTCGGCAGTCGGCAGGGGGTAGACGGCAGGCAAAAGGCCAACGGCATCACAAAGGAGAGTAATGGCAAAGGATAATGCGTGGCTTTGGAAGGAGTGTGGGAACTAAAAGGATTTTCCCCACATGCCGCATCCAAGAAAATCATTTAATATGCTTAAATGAGCAACGATTCAATTGAAAATTATCTCCTACAAATGGAAAATAATTTGCATGAAGCTAATCCCATAACTGGATACGAATGAGAGCCAATCAACTGCTTTCAAAGTCACTTCTCAAGGTTGTTTGTGCAAAGTTTTTGTGCAAAACAGATACAAAAACATCTTTCAATCTGTTATCTATCGCCTTTATATATGGAAACTTTTTCTTTATTTATAGATAAAACTAGTAAATGGCATGGTAGGTGAGACCAAGAGATGTGCCCAGTAAATTAAGATTCGAGTCGAGTGTGCATAGTGGCAACAACTGTTGCCAGGACAAGGATGATTATTGCCTGCGGCTGTCAGGGATATTATCATACATATTTCGGGGAGGCTGCTCAATAGTAATCCTCGCATTGCATCTGGCGTCGCCACACGGACCAATCCGCACAGCCCACAGCATCCGAGGTGGCCACGAAGCCCTTGCCGGGGGCGCAGCTGAGGAGCAGCGGTGTGGCCGCCACAGCGGGGCACATGTAGAATTGATTGGGATCCGGAGCAGCCCACGGCTGTATAAAGTGCTCGCTATCGCTGTCACAGCCAGCCGTCGTCGTCGTCGCTGTCGCCGTGGCCGTCGCAAGTGTGGCAGCAGCATCCGGGGCCAACTGACAGGCCGGCCAGCGGTCGTAGGGTAAACAACCCAAATAGCCGAGACCGTTGAAAAATCCACGTCCCTGTGGGCACTGCAGCTGCAGCGGCTGCTGTCCGTCCGCGGAGCATACGTAGAATAAGTTGGGATTCGGATCTCCCCACATGTCGGTGGCGTGTTTGCATGTTGCATTCGTGGCCGTGTCAGGGTCGAAAGTCTCTCGTGCCGCCCCCAACGGTGGCAGTAGCACCACCATCGCCATCACCGTCAAGAGCAACATATTCCATTTATTTTTCATAAATAATTTCATCACGAACGGCAGCCAGAACATTTATTATACTCGCACAAAGTTCTCCTCTATCGCTCGTCTCGTTCTCGCTCTCTCCCCGGGGTTTTTCCTTATTGCAATTTGCTATTATTTGCTGCTGTGGATGCTGCTGGTGTTGTTCTCCGTTTGCCGGCTTTTCATCATTTGCCCATAAGCCGTGTTCGTTAATAAATTTATATGCTCACTACGGCAGCTGCCGTATCTCTGGTATCACTCGGATGCGGCTCTGGTGCGAACGTACAGAAAACTCGACTCGACTCGACTCGACTGATTGATGGCGTCGCCATTGTCTTTGGTTTTTATACTCATTGTGGTGCGAGTACTCGTACTCATACTCGTACTCGTGCCCATTGCATGACTTTACTGATGTTGCCCCTGCAACGCTATCATTGCTATTTTTACAGTCATTTTTCATGGGTTCTCTCGGTCTGCGTCTGGCTCTGGGCCTTTCTGTTCTATTTTGGCCCGATGTGACGTCGCCGCTCTCCCACTTTTCAGCTCTCTCAGTGGACAAGTTTTTGATTAGATAAGCGAAAGAGTTTAAAGTTTGCTTCTGCTCCCTGCAATCGAACAGTGAGATTGATATGAGATATCAATGGCACCACAGTTGGGCATGGGCTGTAACTCTCTCTCCCGCAAAACTGATTTATATCTGACCGACTCGCTGTCATCGTTCGATTCAGAATTTCCGATTTTGATATGATTCACTGTCAAGGAAAACACAGCCACTGTACACTGTCTCATCTACTGGATGATACACAGACATTTGTCTGGTCTTATCAAAGCGATAGCATGGACATTAATTGCCTTTCAAATGAAGGTAAATTTGGAAATTATTGCTGCAGAAATCAGACGAAAATTTAATTACGAACCTACGTGTAACCGTGCTATGCCAAGCCACCCTACGCTGATAATGAAATGGAATGGATTTTGTGTTCAGCTGCAGACACAGGCGGCTGTCAAAACTTCTAATTGATTTGGCTAAAAAGCGGGAATAACCTGAGAAGAGCCTGCGAAGAAGCCACTTTGCGGCCTCTGTAACCTGGAAAAAAGTTCGCCAGCAGCTGCTGGAGTGGAGACACTTTTTTTGTTAAGTCACGTTGTCAATTGGAACTTCTTTTCCCGCAGAAGGCACTCTCTGTCCTGACACTTTTTGCAGTCTATTTACGGTGCCGCCAAGTTTAAATAGGGAAACTTCGTGGAGCACGGAAAAAGTTGACAATATAATCGACATAAATTCCAATAGGCTTGCCATCGATGCATGCTCTCGGCGAGAATTCAATTAAAAGTTTCTGGTGCGAATAGACAGCCGCAGATGGGGGCCAAAGTAACCCAAAGAAGTATTTTTGTGGGCGCCTTTAAGACATCCGGGTGTGGATCTGATTCTTGGAAAATGCTCATCAATTTGTACAGGCCTTCGCCACTTGAGAGGCGTGATATCAGTTGAAAAACAGTCGAAAATTAAGTCAAGAATTCGCCATTATCTGCATAGCAGAAGGCGATAAGCGCACAACACTGCGTATGAGGAACATCAGTAGCCGAAAGTCGCCCTCGGAAGGCGTTCATCACTGAAACAAAGTGTTATTGACAATGATATGGTGCCTCGATAAGTTCCACTGATTGGATAGAATTTTATAAAAGCCCAGGCGCTCGCCGTCACATAGTTTAGTCTGTTTCAGATCCTCAAATTGAACACAAGCTTTGGATAACCTCAAGAAAAACGAATCGCGATGCAAAAAAGTATGTTGTGGCTCTCATTTCTAATTATACATAATTTAAATACTCGTATTTACTATCCTTTGCAGCTCTTTTGATATTCCTTGGCGTATTGGCTGTGTGCTGGTCCGCCAGCGTGGTGGAACAACAGGCGTGCCAGTCCCAGGACGAGCTGTGGGGCGGCGAGGATATACGCAAATTCTACTTCTGCATCAATGATCAAGTAATCGAGGATGAGTGCGACACAGGCTATTACTTTGTGAACAATGCCACCTATTCGGGCTGTCTGCCGGCGAAACTGTTGAATCCGCAGTGCGTCAATCTGGACGCCGTCGAGCCCGACTGCAAGGGCCTCAGCGCCGAGCAGCCACAGCCATGCGATACGCTGACCAACTTCTACCTGTGCACCGCCGATGGCGTCACGAAGATGTCCTGCGCGGACAACAAGGCCTTTGTCAACCAGGACGGTTATCTGGGCTGCTTCCCCTGGGCGGAGTGGCGCCTGTTGCGCAATTGCACCGATGACTAATCTAATGATGCGGAAGGATCACCAGCTCTATCTTTTAATTTGGGATTCTTCCGTGCCCACTTATCGCGATTGAAACTGTCCGAACTGAATGGTTTATTAATTTCAAAATGATTGCAAAATAATTGATATATGAGCGGCATCAGATATGATAAGCGCGACATGGATGGATCGTTTGCGTCTCTGACACTTATTGAAAAATACACACACGCACGCATGACAGTTCTTGGGGCAAAAATCGATGCGCCATAAATCTTTGCTTTTCCCGCCGGCAGCCATGCGGACAAAAACTAAAAATTACAACATGGCAACAAGAAAATTTCAAAAGAAAATTGCACTCGCAATCATTGCAGCAGTGTGTCTTAGGGGGCAGTGTTTCTGTGCTTCTATGCTTCTGTGCTGCTGCAACACCGCAAAACAATTGTCGCCGCAAACTTTTGCGCAAAACAAACAACAAGTAAGGGACAAATTACAGGGCCAGGGACCAAGTGCCGGGCAGGACAACAGCCACTGGTTTGCTGAACATGTGTTTCGTCTGCCACCGAATGGAGTCCCGTCCCAGACAGAAGCTAGAGTCCTGGACTCCGGACTCCAGACTCCGGAGTTCTGCCACATGTGCGTGTGCGTGTGTGTGTGTGTGTCAACGACTGCCGGCATCAAGTTCTGGGGCCGGGCTAAAAATGAGTTTAAAGTTCGATGCTGAACCGCATTAATCTTGCAGTTGCAGCAACATGAAACCAGAAGTTGCCATTGGAGTGGGCAATGATTGCATCAGCAACGGAGTAGTGGCAGTAGAGATGTGCCCCCGGTGCCTCGGGGGAGTTCAAATTGGATGTGGATAAACCAGGGGTCTGCAGTGATCACTCTTGGTTAGTCTCTTGCAGATCTCTCTCTCGCCCCTCCCCTTGATCATTCATGGCAGCCAGACTAGACTCTGCGCCTAGGTAATGAATGTCTGAGTGGGGACCAAGTGTCAGTGACACGACACTGTCCCACCACTGTGCCTCCTCTTCTGGCACACGGGAGGGAGGCCATGCCCACCCCAAATGAGTTAGTCAGGAAATTGCATTATTTGTCTTTGGCCATTGCGGGCAAAAACCCGTACAATGCTGGCGGCTCCAACTCTACGGGAGTGTGTATCCGTATGTGTGTGTGTGTGGACAATGCTGTGTCGCCTCCCATGAGGCACTAACTAGTGTGGCTGCCCCTCTTTACTGCGACTGGTGCTGGTGGTGCTGCTGCTCGTTTTGCTGCCTCGGCAGCCACTTTAAAATGGCGTGGCTATCTCCGGTCGGGCCTCTGTTCCCGTCACACATGCGAATTTTCAAACGCTCCGAAGTCACAGCAATCTTTCTGCTCCATTTCCGCCCACTCCTGCAGCTGTTGCTGTTGCTATTGCTGTTGCTATTGCTGCTGCCACTACCAGTGGCAGTGCCCCTGTTTCCTGTGCCCCTTGTTGTTGCATTTTAATTGCATGGCTGCCTGGGCCGTTCGGACCATTAATCCTGCACAAGTTTTGTGCAAAAATTGCGAAAAGGGATTTTTAAAGTCTCAACTGTCGTATGTTATCAGCACACCCCGGGAGAGTGCCACAGAATGAGGCAGAAGAGCGGCCCGGAGCGGGAGAGTGTCACAGAATGAGGCAGGAAATCGGCACAGAAGCAGAAGGAGCCAAAGTGTACCCCAGAATGGGGCAGACAGAGGACGAGGCAGCGGAAGAGTTGGAGGGAAAGAGTGCTTGAGTCGAGAACTTGGGCCTGTAGCTAAGAGCCGGACTGACGGCGCTGCGGTGCTTGGATTTAATTGAGTTTACAATTGTTTTGTGGCCTGGTCTGTTCTGTTCTCAGCCACTCGACTGCACTCCATCCCGATCCTTTCTTCAACTTTGACCAGTTCGGAGTTGTGCTCCACTACCATCAGCGTTGACCCATTGCCTGGGGCTGACGGCGACTGTTACTTTAATTAAGTTCTGTGTGCCTGCTGCATAAATAAACTTGCCATAAACATGGCCGCGGCGCAAACATGTCTGCGACAACATGGCGCATACGCAATGCGCTCAAAAGCATGCCACAGTTTTTCCACTCTTTCCCTTCCTCTACTTTACTTTGCTGCTCTTACTTCTATTGTTGTAGTGTTCTGGTGCAAGGGATTTCCTCGCCACCGTTCTCTAGTGGCCATAATTGGCATTTTTAGACCCTGTCCATGCCGCATCGAGTGGTGACAGTGCACCCATGCAGCCCGAAACCCGTTTCTCCCCTGCCTTTTCCTGCTGCGGCTTCCGTTGAATGATTTTTCTGTGCGCGCATTTTCGCGCTTGAATTGTTTGGGACTCAGCGGGAAAGGGGCCTTCGGATGGGGGGCACAAAGTTGGCTTAAACTTTTCCACTTGAATGGCAACGGAAGGTTTTATGCGCCTCAGTTCCAGTTGCACTTCCCAGGAACAGGCCAGAATCAGCACCAGCACCAGTTCCATTTCTACACAGAAAAAAAAAATATATTTTAAAAGGAAACAAAAACTTTAGAAGCCTAAAAAACATTTTTTCAAATTATAGTTTTCAATTATTTGCTATCCTTCGAATATTTGGAAATTATTTCCATTTGAAATGGTATCTAAATTTATTCTGAGTGCAGTTTCCATTGCGAATTGTGCCCCATTGTGTTGCAGTGGCAGCGGCGCATGAAAGTATGCTGAATAAAATTTGTGCTCTGCAACAAATAAATATTTGACCCGCAGAACCCCAGAACACCCCAGAACTCAAACCCAGCAAAGCATTCCATTGCTCTCGCAGTTTACTGCGCCGTTGAATTTATATTTGCACTTAACAAGAGGAGCAACAACAGAAGAGTTACAAGAGGAGCAAATAGCGGAGGAGGAGCATCAGGAGTCACCGGAACAGGAATAGGAACTGCAACGACGACAGCTACAACAATAACCACAGCCCGGCACCACTTTTCAGAGAGGGTAAAGTTTGTTTGGCTTATTTTTTGGTTACAAATCAAATCCAAAATCGCATTAAAATTGCATGCAGCGGAAAAATTGTACACCCAAGTCGAGGAGTTGCATGCGAAAGGAGCCGCAAAACCAGCACCGCATCGCGTAACCAGAACCAGAAGCCTTGCCACAATAAGGACTTGGAGTGGCACTGTAGAGGGAGGAGGAAGAGCTCTGGTGGTGAAGTGGTTCAACTGCTGCTGCTGCTCCTGCTGCTGCTCCTCCTGCTGTTGCTGTTGTTGTGTGAGACATTTTGTTTGGGGGGTTTTGCGGTGCTTCAATTGAATTTTTGCGAGACGAAATCACTTCAACGCCTTCGATTTCAATTTCCGCCACATTTCAAATTTGAATTCTGTTATTGCATTTTGCCCTATTTCTCACTCGTTGCTGTTGTTGCTGTTGTTGTTGTTGGCCCCTTCTTTTTGTGTTGCTTTTGCGGTTGAGGGTCGCTTTGAAGGTGTTTTCATCGGGACAAATTTAATTTTGCTTGCTATTTGTATATGTACCCCCAAAAATGTGGAAACTCTTGGAAACAGGGTAAATATATTGATCGGTAAATGGCTTGCATGGCATGAAGAGACAATTTCTGAAATGTCTGTTCAGCTGATTAACTTTGGCCACAGAACGTAACGGCAGATAATGGGATCTCTGCAACGACAACGAGGGAAGAAAGTGAGTCAGAATGTAGGAGAAAGAAAGCTTAAGCTGTTCCATGTTCAAATCCCAACAAGAGTGCAATGGATGTCGAAATATTTAAACTTTAATGGTGATAAACATGAAACCGGCAGCCATAATACAATTATGATACAAACGAGAAGGAACGTGTGCGTCGCCTCTGGGGACGCGACTCTATTCTTATACCCGTACTCAGTCAGTGTATAAATTTTTGAGCTTATGATTTATTGTGAATGTTAAAATATTTTACATTTTAAATTTTTTTTGTTACATCTGTTATCTACATCTACAATGTCGATTCCACACATAAAATGTAAATTATACATACACAATGTAAAAAAAGAAAGAAAGAGAATGAGTAGGAGGTGGGGGAAGCAACTGAAAATTAATTTCTTCATTCTGGCTATAATATTGATCCGATCTGATTCAGATTCAGCAGTTTCTTTTTAAACTTTGATATTGCAGCTCTCTTGCTTTCCTGTCTTTCCGTTCCTTTGCTTTCCATTCCTTTCCTTTCGTTGCCATTCCTTCATTCCTTGTACGCTTTGATTGCTTCATGATTGGACACGCACATGGTCCGAGGCTGGGATTTCTCTCTCATTTAGCTGTGCCTCTGCTCAGGTTGCGTAAATGAACACCGCATGAGAATGGCCATGCTGGTCTTTGGGTCTTTCGGTCTTTGGTTCCAGGGGAAGCCGCAAGTTAAACAATCCGTGTCCATGCCTACAGCCCCTGATGCGGGGCTTTGATGGCCGCCTATTCCATTACGGCTACATGGCTACTGCTCCTAGTGCTCCTCTTACTAGAGCGCTCATCCCCATACTGCAGCTCTTCCTGCTGCCCTTCCTGCTGCTGCTGCTGTCTGCTTTGTTTGCCGTCACTCGAGGATGTCTGGCTGGCTGGCTGGCTGGCTGGCTGTCAGGTTGCTGCTGCTGCTGCTGCTGCCGTTGTCGCTGCTGTTGTAATGGTGCGGCATCAATATCTCATTTGTATAACATATCGCAGTCAATATGAGACACGTGTATAAGTATCTAGTTTACTTTGGGCGTGTGTGGGCTTACGATGGGGGTCTTAGATTGGGTTTGGATTGGGGGGCGTGTGGCATGTGTCTTGTGTCGAGCCTGGAACGTCGTCAACTGTTGTTGTGGGTGTGGGTGTCTGTGTGTGGCCCGTTGCATGTCATTGTAATGGTATCATGCTGTAACAGATTTCTGTTTACCTTGATTTACATATGCATATATGGATATAAGCATGGGATGGATGGGGTTGCTGGGGGGGGCACACATAGAACGAGAGGGGATGGGTTGGCTGGAGAGTGGGACAGAGACAAGCCACAACGAGCGCTGCTCACTCCAACGTCGCAACGTTGCACGTAAATGGAAAAGAAAACACTTAAGCTTGCACTTAGTCCTTGCGCCTTTCACTCTGTGTCGATGACGATGGCGATGGCGATGTCGTGCTGCATGGGTGTGAATAAGCACATGTGTGTGTGTATCTAAGGGTGTGATTGCGGTTGTGTGTGTTGTGGGTGTATCTATGTATGTGTGTTACCAACTGCGATTTATGCAAATTTGTTTGGCTGCTGAGCCAACCCAGGCTGTCGACTTTTTGTTAACAGTTTCTGTTTTTCTTCCCTTTGTGTTCGCATGCCCCATTCCCCATTCCCCATGCTGCTGCCACTCCCTGCCATTTGTGCCACCCACTAAGCAAATAAAGTTATTTGCATGCGCAAGTAAATCGATTTGTGTATATCAAATTGTGGGGCTTCAAACAGTACACAAAAAAAATACATAAAAGAAACACACACAAAGCTGAAATTCAAACAAAAACTTACTCGTAGATTGTGCTGCTTTGCCACAGCTGTGTGATTGCCACCACTGTGGTGTTGCAGCAACGCCAATAGCTTTGCACAGCAACACCAATAACAACAGCATATAATCTGGCACGGATTTCTATATTGATTGTACGCAATTCACGCGTACTCTGCCATGTACCACCAGGTCGTAGCTCCACATTTGAATATATATATTTCATATAATTTTGTTTACCACTTTCATAATGTATTATTCCCGCCTTAAATGCTTAATTTTAAATTACATTTGCATGCCCCAAAGTAAACATAAAAATAGGTTCAAATGAGACATAAAAGGGTTGCTTTGCAGTGGTTACTTTTTAATGGAAATTGGTGCATTCTTTTTATATTTATTTATTTATTTACGATACCAAAACAATTTATTCAAATGCAAAAACCAGTGAGAATGGAAAGCTGCTTTACCATTAGGAGGCACGGCACAAAGCGATGGCTAATTGCAAATTATTAAAAGCGAGCACCAGAAGTTAAGTCCATGGGGCTCATGGATGCTCCAGCGCCATGGCAATGGCAATGGCAATGGCCATCATGTCAATTTACCAAATTGCGCAAACAAACAGAGCCCAGTGGGAGGTGGTCACCGCAGAGTGATGCTGCTACTCCACCCTCCACACTCCACACTCCCATGTGTGCCTCCATCGGTGGCAAAGTCCTCACGCACTCTTCGTAATTGTTGCACGTATGGCCCGGACAACGGCACAAACAAACGCAAATCCTTGCCGGCATCAACATGCTGTGCTCTGTGCCCAGTTCCCATGCCCCATGCTGCAGAGAGGCCTTCTGTAGCAGCCAAAGCGGCTTATGTCCACCCCACCAATCGCACTGTGCATAAATTAGCCCACACTCCCACGTCGCGGAAAACGCTTTTTAATTATATTTTCGACAATTTGTTTCAATACATGCGCCATGTTTTATTTGCGTGGCTTTGTGGGCGGCTCCTGCGGCTCCGTCCAATGCCAATCCTTCCACTGCACACACCGCTGCGCCTTGTCGTAGTAAAGCTCATTGGCGGGGCAGCGCTTCAGCTGTGCCGCCTGCTCCTGCTCCTTGGAGCACTGCCAGTATGCAGTGGGGTCCCAGAAGTGGCGATAGGATTTGCTCAGCTCCGCCGGAGTGCGGCAGCCCGGCTCGCCATTGTAGTCCCGCTCAGACATGGCTGGAAGGAAGTGTAAAGAGATGCCAGAGACTTTAATATAAAGTAAGATTCTAAATCAGATTCCCTTCAGCTAAAAACTCACAAAAGAAAGGAGTTCTATAGCTCTGATTTGGATACAATATTGAAGCAATGTGTGGGATAATTTGTAACGTTTTTGCTCGCTGTGAATAGATGCTCTCAACTGATCCTAACTTGATGTAAAGACTGACTGACTCTCATTACAACTGAGCGACTAGAGATACAGATAAGCTGATAGCTAAATCGCCTCGGCTGGTTAGTACTTATCAAGCATACAAAATACGATAAGAAGGTTATTACAGCCTCGTACTTTCCGCAAAAATTACTACTCGTATAATTCCCTCGGCAACAGGGCAGTTTTTCGCTTTTTGCATCTGCACTTTATTAATTTAAGATTCATTTTAATATTGTTTTCTGTATCCGTGTAGTCCTAGGCCGTGGCTAGGGGCTCGCTGGGAGGCTGGACTGTGGGCGTCCAGTACCAATCGGACCAGGGTACGCAGCTCTTGGCAGCATCCAGCCAGGCGGAGGGGATTGGGCAGGCAGCCAGTGTGGCGGGTACACCCTGAGTGGTGCAGATCCAGTAGGAGTTCTTCAGATAGAAGTGGGGATATGTGGCCACCGTGATCTCCTGCTCGGTCTGGCAGCCTGGTTGTCCCGTGGGTTTGCCCACAGAAGCGCCACTGCAGTGGCTGACCAGGCAAAGGAGGAAGAAGAGGGCGAATAAATGCAGGAAGTTCATCTTGGTTTTCGAGGTTTGGTTCGAGGTTTTCTTTGGACTGACCTATGCTAATCGTTCTCCCCCTCTTTTATACGCTGCCAGGCCGGGTGTAATCTTATCGAGCGGAACTGAGGTGCGATGCTGTGGCGGCGATAAGACCGCAAAGGCTCGCTTTCTGTTTGCAATTTGGCAGGCAGTTTATGGCGCTGTTTGTTTGCCCGCCGCTCAGCCGATTGTTGTTTCTTCCGGCCAAGTGCGGTGCAGGTCGAGCTCCAGGTGCAGAGCTCCTCAGAACACTAATTCCACCCTCTTTGGGCCGCTTGCCTGCTTGCATATTCATGACATCAACGGCAGCTGTAAATTATTTTCCAAGAGAGATAGCCAGACATGGGCATGGGCATGGGCATGGGCAGGCCGCAAAACAGCGTTCCACAGCCGCTGTCCATGGCACTGCCTCTGCTAATTAATTCAAAACACTGCCTCAAAGGCATTTTTGGGGCTGGTCCAACAAATTTCACCTGACTCAACGGCGGCAACGGCGGCTGGCTTTGGTAGCGCCTTAAGGCATATTAGGGGCCTCTTGTGCCCCTTGAGTAATTGCCGATGCACTGCACAGCACTGCACTACGTTGCGGCTGCAACGTCGAGCCTTCTTCCGGCTCTTCCTGGTCGGGGCATCGGCATCGGCATGCCTTTTGCCTTTGTTGCTCATTTTGTGCTCATTCGGCTTTTGTTAGTTTTGGGCCATAAATTAAATCGGGTTATTAATGTCTGCCATTAAATGAAGCTACGTAGCGGACTGGCTGGATGGCTTTCTGGCTTGCTGGCTGCTTGGCTGTAAAATCCTTGTCCTTGTCCCTGTCTCTGTCTCTGTCGCTGGCGTAAAAGTAGTACTGCCTCTATCTCACACTCTGCCTCCATCTCTTTCTGAAGTGATTTATGTTAATTCGTGCGGCGTTTGTAAGTATTTTGTAAGTATTTTGAGATTCCCAGAGACTTTACTCTACTCAAGTTGAGATTTCTGCCACTGTGCTTCCATTTTAAAGCTGATTGCCAGCTACTATTCAGATTAATTTTTATATATATAGTATTTATATATCAATCTCTTGCACTGACACTTGCCACTCTTTATACAAATTATTTCACGAGCGATGCGAAAAAGGGGCTGCCTTCCAATGCAATTAAATATATTGCGTATACGTCACGTATGCTAAAATTTCATTTCACAATTTTTACCAGCGCTTTCTCTTGTCAGTGTATTGCTTCCTCCTCCTCCTCTCTTCTGCAGCTGGGCTGGAAAATTCTTTTACATGCAAATATTTTGTTGGATCCGCACGCACTGCGGCGGCACTGGTATGTGGATTGTGGGGGGCGGGGGACGGGAAAATCGAGAAATAAAATTGCGATTGAAACGTATTTTTTTGCCGCTTATTGATGTGCTCGCCGGCCTGACAAAGCGTTTTGACTGACAACTGCGAAACGAAATAAAATGCTGGCATTCTCACAAAGTGCCGGACGGATCCGGGCGAATCAAAAATAGTGCAACTTATTGCGGCAGGGCGAGAGTCTGCCAACTGTTGACTGGGACAGGAGGATGGGGGCCACGGATGGGGTCTGTCTCGCTGTCTCTGCGTCTGTGGCTGACAAGCGCGGCATATTGATTTATGACAAATGCTTTGGCGTCAACCAAAAACAGTTTTCCAGAGGTGGGGGGGGCGTTGCCTTAACTGCTGTCAGCAGAAACACGTTAACAATTCGAATTGTAATTGCATGTGGCCCATCATCAGATCGTATAAATATTGTTTTTGGATGCCGCTGGAATAACCACTGTAATAAAAGAGAAGACTATTTCATATAAGGGATTCACACGAAGAGAAATTGTAGTAAATGTGATTTATATCAGAAAAGAGCAGTGAGAGAAAATACTGAAAAGAAAAGAGGAAAGCAGTTAACTAATGTGGATCCAAAACAGCAGGAAAACTGCTAGAGCACTGAGAAAAATGTTCAAATAAAATCATAAAAATGATTCAGCTATAAAAGAGCGATGAATCATATCTCTAATGGAATTCACACAAAAAAAAACATAATTAAAGGTGGACAAGTTCAGAAATATGAGTCACAGTAGCAGATCATTAGATATCGCTATCATAAGTAGGGTATAAGATAAGTCTCCTTGAACCCAGAGATATGTGCACATATTCGCTTATCGGTTTCTCGGATCTTGCGCTTGACATTGTGGACGAGATAAGTGTAGGGGAATGCCGGGGTGCAGAATATTCAGCCACTTGGGAATGAGGTGAGAACCTAATTATGAGCAGTGCACTGAGAAGTAAAACGCTGTGCCAAAGTAAACAGATTAATTTGAACATTTTACTCATTTTTACAGTGCATACGCGAAAGAGAGAAATATAATTATGCACCATAAAATATATAATATATATATTCACACAAGTATTCATTTGGTATTCATTCTATTCATTTCTCACGCCACATATTGTATTGTTCATTTCTGAAGAGATTAAAATATATTTCTGAGCGCTTTGCAGTTGATATTTCCTTTCAAAGTTTCTGCTTTCCATTTCCACGAAAATAAGTAAGAAAACTAACTTAATTCCAATATTTTATTTATAGAATTATTAACTTTAGTTTTAATGCACATTTAATTTATTTACAAAGATGCAAAAATAAAACAAAAATATCTAGAGTTTTCTTCACTTTGTCCAGCATGCCAAAATCATTCCTTTATTCGATAATTTCTTCTTTTGTCAATGGCAGGGCGTCACTCAAAGGATTTCTCTTCGATTAGCATCCTTCCCATCCGGGCGGACGACTGACGGGCTCCAGGCAGGGCTGCCACACCCATGCGATCCAGGGCACACAGGCATTGAGATCCTGATCGAAACCCATATTGGGGCGACAGTTTTTGAGCTGCGCCTGGGTGCCCAGGGAGTTGCATTGCCAGTACTTGGTGGGATCAATGCAGTGCCGTTGAGGCATTCCCACCTCAGCGGGGTGCCTGCAGCCCGGCTCGTGGGTGTCGATGCACTGCGCAGGCATCTGGTGGGGCAGCAGCAGGAGCAGCAGAAGTCCCAGGCAGGAGGCGAGCAGCCAGAAGGGAGCTAATCAGAGGCAAAAAAAAACTTTAGATGGTGGCTAAATGAGATGCAGATGGACCACTTACTAGTACTCGTGCCTTGCGGTGGCATGGTGGAGGTGGCGGTGGCGGTGGCAATGATGTGGCTGCAGTGCCCGGCGGTGGCATTTATAGGCCCACCTCGTCATCGTTCTGGCTCAAGTGGTTATCCTTATCGCAATTGATTCGGGTTCGATGCGCCGCCCGAGGTCGCGGCTTGTGTGATTGCCACTCGGAAATGTTTGCCCCCGCTCTTGAGGGGCGTTCACAGTCAGGGGCTAAGCTGCCAGAGAAAAGGCAGACAGTAGATGTCCGACAAAGGGGACTTAAGCCGGCACCCGCCCACAGCAGGAAAGCAGAACAAAGCAGCTTCCTCTTTCACTGGCAATTCTACTTCGCTTGGCCAATTTCGCTGGACATGCCAAATGCATTTCCGAGCGGACCGACACAATCGCACAATCTGCTAGATGGCTAAGAAATTGTACTAAAAGTCGTGGCTTGTTTGCGTTGGCATTGGCATTGACAGGGCCAACAAATAAATAAAATTCTTAAACTGTTGTTTATGGAAAAGGAGGTTTGTTGCCATGGGAGAAGCTAATGGAAATATGTTCCCAATACAAATTATTTCCTAAACATATAATTCATTTATTATATGTTTATATACATTTATTTCAATATAAGTTTTATTTTCTCTTGGAAATTTTAAAAATTCAAATTCAAATATGCAACAGTGCTGCCCATCATTATTTAACAGCTGCTATCCAATGTTAACGCTAAATGTGCTGTTTGGCGCAACAGCTGTCTGGACAGAAGTAGCTCGATAAATGAACTATTTCTAGTTCCATGGAGAAAGTTAATGGCTATGGCGATGAATATCGCCCATCTCTAGTTACGCCTGAGAAATTACTTAGAATACGGTCACACTGCGGCGCGTTTCTCGTCTCACGAACTAGTTCGAAAAGTTCATCTGAGAACTGAACAATTGTAGAGTTCCAGCGGGAATTTCAAATATGGCGCCAATGCGATCTATTTTCAAGCAATGAAAGTGAAAATGCTCTTTTCTATCCATATTTACTTCTGTTCTAAAGAGATATTAATGCCATTATTTTCTTGGCTGATAAGTAAACTTAGTTATTTTTTTATTTTGCAGCGCAATAACTTTAATGAGAAACAATCTGAATATGAAAATGGATATTATGGACTTGAGATATTGTTTGTAATTTCGGGCTCCAGTTAATGCAGAAACTACTCAGCTTCTGTTGTAAAGATATTAACTAAATTTTGCAGCTCATGGGTACCAATAACAGGTATCAGAACCGGGATAAACGTATTTATAAACACAAAAAATATGCATTAATAGGTTTAAAACATGTCAATCTAAGACAAATTCATTATTAATGTTTCAAAGCAGCTTAGAACAACAAAATTTAACATTAATTAAAGGAAATATGGTAAAAAATGTCCATACGCACAGAAGTAACTTGGTTGACCAGCAACAATGACGTCACATTTAGTCAACATTTACGTTTTATGCTTTGGCCGTTTTTGTTTGAACCCTATTATGTACACAATGCAATAAAAAGAATTTTCGAAAACTAGCCAATCTTTTAGGAAATGTATGTATCTATTAGATAAAATTATTTGCTTAGGGCTGAGAGGGCTACCTAGCTAGTAATATTAGACTGAATATCAAAATCATGGAATTCGATTTCAATCAATAAAATATAACGTTATCCCATTGTCGACCAGGGGGTATTTTATATTTCGACGAAATTGATGTAACTTTAAACTATTTTACGCATTATAGGTGAAAGATATCGGTGGTCATTTTTGTTTTGTAAGTTTACGAACAGTATTATTTTCCGCGGTTTAGCACAAAGGGTGCTAAACATTTTAAATATAGGGGTGTTAAGTGTGTTACGTCTCGTTCCATCGCCGGATTGCCCTGGTTTTTTTTTCGTATCTAAATGGTATTAACTGGTATTTCTCGAAACTGAAATGGTAGTTAATGGTACTTAATGGTATTTATTTTTTGGCTGGATGGTATTTTTTATCGCTACCGTATTTTGTATTTCTTATAATTTGATTAAACCTTATTCTATGATCCGATCCAAATAAAAATGTGTATTTATAGCTGGCAAATTCAGAAAATTGATGCATCTATCTGATAAAATGACATTTTCAGTTGTTAAAGTCCTAGTTAGCCAGTAATATTAAATCGAATATCAAAATTTAAGAATATGATTTTCCTCGGTATATTTAAGGTATATTTGAATACTTACATGGTATATTTCGGTATGTCACAGTGGGTATATTAAAGTACTTTTCAAAATAAAATAGTCATGGTCACACTCTTTCCCTATAAAAATAATAAAATAAATTAAATTAAGTAATTGCGGAATAAAAACGGAGCGTGCGGTCAATTTGGAGCGCCTGACAGTGACGCACATGAGCGGTAAAATGCAGGGACCAGGCAGCACTTGCAACGAATGGAAAATGCGAATTCCGCAACAGAAAACAGCGCCACACAAACTGAAAGTGTAGTGTAGTGTAGTTTATAGTGACAGTGACGACAGGGGGAGAATAAATCTAATTATAACAAAAAGAAGACAAAAGTGCAAGCGCAAAGCGAATCCGATCTACACACACACGCACGCATCCACAAACACATAGAGCGGTTAATTAGTGGCAGAAAAATTAACGATTTTTAGAGGAAAACACACAAAAGCATAGACAGCAAGGGAGCAGCGGTGGCAGTGGCAGCAGCAGCGGCAGCGGCAGGTAGAAGCAGCGACAGCAGCAGCCTTTGCGTGTGTGGCGCGCAAGGCATGGGCTGAGAAGAGGTGTGGCAAGGCACCTGCAGCAGCAGCAGGAGGAGGAACACAAAGCAGCAACATTACCGCACAGCCAGCCAGTGGACGGCTGACGCCTACGTAATGGCCAGCCAATTGGATGCCAATGTCAAGGACGATCTGAAAACGCAATTCGTAACGCGCGAGGGCACCTACCGCCTGCTGACCCTCTCCGAATACTCGCGCCCCAATCGTGTCGGCTACAGCAGCAACCAGAGCTCGCCGCAGGTGCGCGTCTCCATTGTGACACTACCGAATCCGGCGCATGGCAGCACCAATGCCGGCAACAGCAATAGCAACAACAATGGCAATAAGACCAACAACGAGCCGGCTACAGCGAGCGGTGCATCGCCCACAGCAGCAGCAGCAGCAGCAGCGGCGGCGACAACAACTACAACAACGAGCGGCGGTAATCGCGGCACGAATTCGAATGGTGCCTCAACGGCAACACCTGCAGCATCCACCAGCACTACCACCACCCCAACAACAAGCACATCTGGCGGTGGTGGCGGGGGAGGAAACATCTCCAATGGCGGTGCTGGCGGAGACAACAACTACAACAACAGCAATAGCACTGTAGACGCCCGCCTGGGTGGCGGCATCTCCATGCACTCGATGATGAACGGGGGAATGGGAGTGACGGACCAGAACGGGATGGCCACCAGCCAGGTTGTGGGCGGGGATCGCATCTGCTTCAACTTTGGCCGCGATCTCTACGTGTATTCCTTTCGGGGTGCCAAAAAGGTGAGTGACGTGGCCCATGGAACCAGTACGACTTCTCCTTCTCCTCACTGTGACCGCTCCTTAATCTTTGGAGGAGCAGAGCAGGTGGGCTTATCAGGCCACTGGGGGTGGAGCAGGAGGGGCGCATGCTCTACTAGAGAGCTGCTAGATAAGCGCGCAATTGCATTCTAGGCAGGCGGCAGATTGCACCAGATTGCAATTGGCAAACCAAATAGTTCCGCGGATTCCCACACCCATGAAGGGGGGGAGGAGCGGCATGTGTCCCCCATGTGTCCGTGTGTCTGTGTCCCCTTGAGGGTCGGTCGCTTAATTTGCTCTACTTCGAGCAGCGTTTGATCAATTCTCCGCTTGTTTGGCGTTTTTTTTTATGAATGTTTATTGCATTCGAAGGTAGCCAGAGATGCACAATGGGGGATGGTGTATTTTCACTGGAAAATGTACATTTCTTCTTCTATGTACAAGTACACATGCTAATACATATATTTAGATAGTGTTAACACGTGACTATTAGTCAGGTAGAATATTTACCAATTAACAGTGGGGCAGATGACCGTCTGTTACGTGGATTGAATTCATATTTGCGTAGGGGTATTTAATGTAGGGTATTTTATTGGGAAATTTTTAAAGTAAATAGTCGACACTTGCCACAGCACATCCACGTGGATGATTCTCTGATGTGTCTGTTCGTTTATGGGAAATTTGAACTATCAGTATTATCAGCGAGAGGAATATCACTGTACAAAAGTTCACAATCTCTTCTCTGTTTGGTGTCTTAAAGGGGATACTTAAATCTGATAGAAATCTATCAATTATCACCGACAGATGATAATCTGTTCGGGGTTTGTGTACTCACAAAGAGGCCAGTTATAAAGTACATGGGAATATTCCATTCCCACCAATTATTTGTGCTCAGCAAAAGCTGGAAATATCAGCAATCAATTATCAGTTATCTATATCCCCTAAGCTACTTGGAGAGCACTGCCTTAAAGTGTCTTTCCATATACGAACATACATATGTATGTATGTATGTATGTTTTGTAAGTGTGTGCCATGTTCGACTTGAACTCGAAGGCTCATTCCTCAGCTCATTCTTGTGTTTGCATTCCGCAGCAGCAGCTACGCTACCATTGTAGACGTAGCCACAGCCTGCCCTCCGTGTAGCAGCTGTTTCTAGTTCTTTGGCGATTCTTTTGCATATTTAGTTTTTGCCTTTTTTGTTGACTGTGTGTTAGCTGAGAAAACTTGGCAAACGCTGGGTTTGTAGGGGCCCATAGGCAGGGCATTTTTTGTTGGGTCCGCCTGATTCCGGCAACGAGCTGCTAATTTCCATGCAGCCTCCAAAATGTGTGAATTTGTATGAGATTGAGATTGGGTTAGCAGAGAGGTTTTCTTTGCAGTGTTTCAGCGTTTCAGATGATAGTTTTTTGTTTGTTTGTTGTTGCAGGGCACGGAGATGAGCAAACCGATCGATAAGAAGTTCTACAAGGGCACCAATCCCAGCTGCCACGACTTTAACTCAAACTCGGCCACGCCCACGGGCGCACCGCTACTGGTGGGCTTCACCACGGGCCAAATTCAATTGGTATCCCCGCAGATGGGGCCACGGGAGCTGCGGAAGCTGTTCAACGAAGAGGTGAGTGGGACAGACGCACACGCAGGGGCAAGAACCGACTCTAAAATCAAAATTCTATTTGCAGCGCCTTATCGACAAGACCAAAGTGACCTGCCTGAAGTGGCTGCCGAATTCTGCCCATTTGTTTCTCGCCTCCCACTCCTCGGGCCACTTGTATCTGTACAACGAGGAGCTGCCGTGCGCGGCGACGGCGCCCAGCTACCAGCCGTTCAAGATGGGCGACGGCTACACGATACTCACCTGCAAGTCCAAGTCGACGCGGAATCCGCTCTACAAGTGGGTCTTCAGCACCGACAACTGCTGCATCAATGAGTTCTGCTTCTCGCCGTGCGGCTCCAATCTGGCTGTCGTCTCGCAGGATGGCTTCCTGCGTGTCTTTCACTACGACACCATGGAGCTGCTGGGCATCGCGCGTTCCTATTTCGGTGGCTTCCTCTGCGTCTGCTGGTCCCCCGATGGCAAGTACATTGTGGTGGGCGGCGAGGATGACCTCGTGACGGTGTGGTCGCTGCAGGAGCGCCGTGTGGTGGCTCGCGGCCAGGGCCATCGTTCCTGGGTCTCTGTGGTGGCCTTTGACCCCTACACCACCTCCTACACCAACTGGGATGGCGGCGACTTCAGCGACGACGAGAACCAACTGAACGAGCAGTACACGGCCTCGCGGGAAGCCCGCTTCTCAGGCGACTCCACGGCGAACGGCGGCTTCGAGGGCTTCGACAGGAATTCCACGCCCGTGCATGCCGCGCGGCCTCGGGCCCACTCTGCCTCGTTTCGGTCGGATGCCTCGTCGGCGGCGCTGGCGCCGGACAAGCTGGCCATCAGCTATCGCCTGGGATCCGTCAGCCAGGACACACAGGTCTGCCTCTGGGACATCACGGAGGATGTGCTGCGGCATCCGCTGGCGCTGAGGCAGCGCGTGAACAGCACGCAGCTGAATGACACCAGCTTCCTAAACGGCGGCATCGATGCGGACGGCATCAAAGTGATACGGCCCATTGCCATGGGACATGGAGCTGGCGGCGGCAATGGTGGAATCAATCATGCGGTGGAATCGGACAGCTGCAGTCCCACCAGAGAGGCGGCGGGTGGAGCAGCCACCGAGAATAGCAACAGCAGCTCCAGCAAGTTCTCCACCGCCAACTGCACGATATCGTCGCAATCCTCGAACGCCAATACCCCGCCCGAGGACTGCGAAACGGAGGCGGCCACACCGGCCTCCACATCATCGAATGCGGCAGCAACTACTGCAGCAGCAACAGCAGCGGCGGCGGCGGCGCCGGTGGCTGCAACAGCAGCAGCAGCAGCACCCTCCACCAAGCAGAACAATCGGACACATGGGACAAGCAACTCGATCAAATTCCCCAACTGCATCAGCGCCACAAAGTCGGATAGCATCGATGGGAATGCGAGCATCAGCGGAAGCGCCGGCGGTGGCCAACGGACATCCTATGCCACGTCCGGGTACAACAGCAAGACTTCCAACAGCTCGACCAAGTCCTCGAACTCGGGCAGCGGCTTCAGCGCCTTCAACAGCCTCACGCAGCGGCTGTCGAACTTGAATTTCCTGAGCAGCTCTGACAAGAAGTCGTCCGCCGTCGGCCACGAGGGCAGCAACTCGACGGCGCATCGGCAGCACCGCAAGGCCATGAGCATGCTGAAGAGCTACAATCAACACAACAATCACAGCAGCAATAATCACAGCAACAACAGCAGCTCCTCCAACTTTGGGCACTCCAGCACCCAGGAGTCGGGCGCCGCCATCGGCAGCAGTTCGACGGCGCACAGCTTTGGATCGCTAAAGCTGAGCAAATCGTCCCACAATGCCTCCTCCCTGGCGACGGCCGCCCAGTCGGCGGCCAGTGTGAGCAGCTTCGATCCCATGAAGCTGATCGGCACGCCCGCCTGTCCGCGCTTCGACGAGTGCCCGCTGCTGGAGCCGCTGGTGTGCAAGAAGATTGCCCACGAGCGTCTCACGGCGTTAATATTTCGCGAGGATTGCTTTTTGACGGCATGTCAGGATGGCTTCATTTATACATGGGCGCGGCCTGGTCATGCAACAGTAAGTTCTCCAGCTAAGGACTAAATACCTCTTTGATCCTTATTCATGTGGAATTTGCATCTCCTTTGTTGCAGCACACCAACCAGCAGCACTTGTCGCCCAGCCAGTCGACGGCACCTGGTGGGACGGTAATCTAGTAGCTCAAACAGCAAAACTATCAGCGTAATCTTGTCAAGGAGCAGAAGAAGCTGGAGGAGGAGCGGAAGTGGAAGTGGATGCAGCAGGTGGTGCAGTGCAGTTGGTGATCTAGGATTAAAACTAGGCGATTGATTTCGATAATTTATTGATAGGAGAAAAGAGTTTTAAAGGTTTTTTATGTTGCGTATTTTGTATTCCAAATGTAGCCTAAATGTAGCACCTCCCCCTCCCACACACACACAAACACACACCTTTAATATATATATATGTATACATATATATAGCTATGTAAAACATAACTACAATTTATATGCGCAACAGAACCACACACACGAGAGAGTGTGTTTTATGTGGGAGAAGAAGAGAAAACCTAAATTATTAGTTGTAAATGTATTATTTTTTTAGTACGTGGAATTTGTTGAAAACAAATGCAAAGCAAAAGCATGTTTATAACTATTTACTAAGCGCCTAGCCCTACACACAAACACACACACACAGAGAGAATAAAAGCGAAAAAAAAAAAAAAAAAAAAACATAAAATAAAGCAAAAATCATGCAAAAGGATCGAAACAGAAACAGGAGTGGAGAGAAGAGAAGAGCAAAACGAATGCTGATTTAGCGAATGTTTTTTCACATTTGTGCTATGAACTGAGGCCCCCAACACTAACGTAACGTAACTAAACGAACGAAAGATCGAATGAGAAATTTATAAATGAATGGAATAAAACTATGAATATGAACTACATTACATACATACATACATAGCAAACATATGTACTATATATGTAAACAACTCACGAGAGAACTAAACCTAAAGCGTAGGAACTGTTATACCTATTACGGACTATTATTATTATTATTATTATTATTACTACTATTATTATTGTGCATTCTTATGCCTCTTATTTTGATGCAATACCCCTGCCATGGCAGGGCAGGGCAGGCGGTTTTGGCATGCGAACAAATTAGACTAAAGAGCAGACGACAGGAAACGGATATAGGAATAGATAACCCGTAACATCAGCATACAAAAACAGACACACACACACACACAAAACACACATGCAAACATACATACATACATATATATTTTGTAACGAAATCAAGAAAAGAAACAAAAACTAGCGACAATTTGCAGGGGATCCCCCACTGGAAGGCGGCAGTTGGCCATTAAGCCTATCCGAAGAGCAGATCAGAAACAACAGAAGCAACCAACCAACCAACAAACAAACAAACACGTTACAGTAAAGAAAGACTAAAAATTTCAATAAAATTATATATAAAAAATACATACACGAATAACTACTCAAAATCAATGATAGATGGATGATTGATAATCGATCTGCCAGAGAGGAGAGAAGAGATGGATGATGTGTGGCATCGTTTTAATAGCTTGTATTTATTTATTTTATAAAATGTGCTTCGTTATTAACAAAAATATGTTTCTCTTATGCAAATCTCAGACGCACGGTTGCTGGCATGCGCTCGCTCTTCCAATCCAATCCTTAAGTAACAGCTAACCATTCATAAACTACGCAGAACTACGAAGATTTAACATTCTGGAAATGATATCGGCTCCTCCCCAGTTTGTCGGACCAAATTAATCTATCAATCGGTAAAGTTACATGGCCTTGGGCACCGACAATAGTATATTCGATTCTGGTAGGTATAAATGCTTCGAGAGCAGAAACGCCAGCACCGCCTGACCGGCCACAACCATGAACAGAAAGTAGAGCTTCCGCTTGCGTCCGCCGCTGTAGTCGAGCTCCTGCGGATTGCTATAGGGATCATAGTTGATGGCATTGCTGGAGACAGCTGGCGCGCTGTCTTGCAGCAGTTTCGTTCGTAACGTTCGCAGCTGTAAAGGGATGGGATCAGGTCACTCACATTAATTGCTGGATACATTGATAGAAGGAGAGACTCACCAGAAAGAAACCAAAGGAGAAACTGGTGTAGGCCAATGCTATAAAGTAGCCAGACCTGTAGAAGAGCGTGCTGAGCATTAGGCAGGCTACAATGTTCACGTACTTGTAGCCAGTGAATGCCAGCAGATCCAGGGTCTTGAGGCTCGTCTTGATATTCATCACATACAGTGCTATCGAGTAGATGACCAGCTCGAAGATGCTGTAGGCCATGGCACTGGAGGCCTGAATGCCCAGCTGCTCGGGCGAAAATCTCTTCTGCATGCCCAACAGCAGGCCGGCCACAATCACGTAGGTGATGTACCCCATCGTTGGAAGATACAGATCGGGCGCATTCACATCGTACCTGGGCTGCACGGGGTGCTCCTGATCGTACTTCAAGGACCAGTCCTAAAAGAGGAATTCAAGCATTTACATCAGGGGATTCAAAGAAGACTTTTGTGCCCCTCCTTACCTTGTGTATATACGGAAAGAAAAGCAATCGCAGCTTGCGCCCCACATACGCATTGTCCACGGCAAAGTAGTACCTCAGCTTGGCCACGGGCACCCATCTCTCGAACTGATTCTCCACCATCTGCCTGCCCTGATCGGCCAGCCGCTGACCGTACTCCATGGCCATGTCCTGCACGATGGGCTGCTGGAGCATCGCGAACTGTGGAAACTGTCCACCAGGTCCTGCCTGCGGTGCTCCCATGCCGTATGGGGGCGGTGCCCCTCCCTGTTGCGGTTGCGCATAGCTGAAGCTCTGCTGCTGCTGCTGCTGTGGCGGCTGCTGATAGTTTTGGGGAGCCTGTTGCTGCTGTGGCTGATAATGTTGCTGGGGCTGATGCTGCTGCTGTGGCTGCTGAGATGGTGCCACATTGAAGCCGTAGCTAGTCGACGGAGCAGCAGCAGCAGCTGGGACGCCGCCGTACACATTGGGGTCCAACATGCCGGGCCCGGCTGTCGGGGGCATGAAGGTAGGTCCGCCCATCATCGGGGCTGTCGGGCCCATCGCATTCATGTCGCTGATGCGCTTGTTTGGCCGCGGGCGGCCGCCACCTTGTGCTATTTCGGTCGAGAGGAAAAGAGGCTGGTTAATGGCAGGGCCCGAGAGCAGTGGTGGCAGAAAGGAAACGTGGGGAAAGTGATGGAAACAAGTAAAATCAAGCTACAACGCAAACAGCAAACAGCAGGAAAAAGGCGCAACAGGACGGATTGGGTTAGTGCGGGATATAGAAACAGGATAAAAAATTTAACGTCCAGCTGCAGGCGCGGCCCGTTCCGACAGTCTGGTCAGCAGCATTTCGGAGGAGGCGGTGGCGGCGGCTGGTCTGCCTTCGTGGTATACTTGCTTGCCGTTGCTTGTTCCTTACAGTTTTCCCACTTACGATTCCGCATACCCGCATTTGGATTGTAGTTCATCTTGCTCGCGCCAAACTCCGACCAGTCTGCTTATTGAATGCTATGTACTTTCCGTGTTATTTGAGGAAAAAGTGATTTAAAAATTCTATAAACATTTAACACCACATCAGCACATCATCCAGTGTGACTGAACCTAAAAAATATACCAGAATATACCGAAATATACCTTATTATTTTCAGAATATAACAAAAATATACCGTGTAAAAATAGGAACTTAGCCCACCTAATCCCCAACTATTTGAACAGAAGAAAAACTTGAGTTAAACCGCGTTATTACTGTTTGTAAATTTTCCTTGTCCATCTTTTCTCTTTACGTGGTAATATTTTTGAAATTTAAAGAACGTGCGTGTCACCAATTTAACATAATTGAAAGGAAATTGTGTATAAAAAGTTCCATCACACTCCACAAATAAGTCGTTGATATGTACCAAAACGTGTAGTTACTATGTAGCTACCGTGTAGTTACCATGTAAAAATGGGACATTCTTTGTTTAAACCGGATTTTATAAGTAATCCCATAACAAGGAGTCATTAAAAGAAGTCATATTTCAGAAAATTGATTTCAGAAAATTGATTCATCTATCTGATAAAATGATATCTTTAGTTGTCAAATATAAAAACTGAGGAAATAAGTCGAAGGTATATTTGGGGATATTTTTGAAGCCCAGACGGTATATTTGGTCGATAAGTCCATGGTCACACTGGTTCTGCGACGCAAAGTAAACAAATGTATTTAAAATGGAAAACGGGTTCATAAAAAGGCGCTCGCTGACTCTCAGCGCCCGGCTGCTGCACAAACGCCACAGCGGTAAGTGTTTTCGCAACGCATTGGCACGTCCGAAGCATCTATAAAATGATTTCTTCCAACAGCCTCGCCGCAAAACTGCGGGCGCCCTGTCGGCGGAAACGATGCGACAACAGATGCACCTGGCTCTCCATCGTCTATTGTGGGCCCAGTAGACGATGTGGAGTGCACGCCCCCCAACAAGAAGTCGCTGAGTCTGGACGATAGCGTGGACTTTTCGCCGCGCATGGACATCAGCCTGTCGCCCAACTGCCTCTTCTCGCAGACGCTGGCCACCGAGAGTCCGGAGGTCGGCTGGCGTTGGAACCGCAACAGCAACAGCAACGCCAGCGTGAACTTGAACCCCAACAAGATAAACACCACAACAGACAGTGGCTTCGATTCCGCAGAGCTGGCTGCTGGCAAACTAAAGGATCGCCGCCGGCAGCTGACGATGAAGGGCTGCGAGGATCGACGAAATCAGCAGGACAACGACCTGTGGCGCGCAAAGCAAATACGCGCAAGAGAGCTGCTCAAGGAGCGATGCGACAAGCTGCACCGACAGCTGGACCAAGTGGCAGTGTCTGAGACGCCCAAGCCTGTGCCAGCGATGGTTCCCCCAGTGGCGGCGCGCACACGATCTGCCAGCAAGAGACCTACTCCAGAGCCAGCTGCACCTGTGGCAGACCCAGCATTCGCAGACTTTCTCAATGACTCGGAGACGGACATGTTCCTGTTGGAGGCCTCGCAGCAGTTGGAGTCGAAGATGGTGACCCAAGGGACCGGATCGACAGCGACAGCGGCAACAACCACAACCACACCCACCAGTCATCACAAGACGAAGCGGCCCTCGTTCTATATGAAGTTTCTGGAGGATGAGAGTGAGAGCGAGGATTGGCTGACGGCCCTCGAGGAGGCTGTCGATCAGGCGACCATGCCCAAGAAGCCGCGCACCTCGCTGCAGCGCTACAAATCGATGCCCACAACTGGAGACATATCGGTCGGTAATGGTAGTTGTGACAACGGATCTAGCAAAGGATCTGCCGCAGGGGCCAGCACTTCGTCGGCATTGTCCAGCATGGCGGAGACGCCACGCATCAAGCGACATGCCAGCTCGCACGCGCTGTCCCCAGCCACGTCGCATGGTAAGTGGTCAATGAAATCCCATTCCCAGGAGCACTAACTTATTTTGTAGCGTTCCCTGCAGCGCGCGGCAAACTTTTCGGCAGCCGGAAATGAAACTCAATTCGGCTACTGCCACCGAATCAGCGCTCCACAGGCGCACAACCCACAAGCCTTGCCTTCCCCCTCCCCTTCCACAGCGAGTACCAATTGTGATGAGAGCAAATGTTAGGTTTTAAGTTTCGATTCCCCAAACGGATGACCATTCTGCAGTACTGCGTGTATACGAGTAAGATAATTGAATTTGTGCAGCTCGGAAGTTGCTTTATAAATTTAACTTTAAGGCTAATTAAGAGTTAATTGTAAATTAAAGCGTTACGCGGCCATTCGCCCATCGAGAGTCGTAATGATTACGCGGCTGTTCCGGTTACAACAGCGCATGCGACCGGCCATATGCTCGGCATTATCGGGTGGCAGAAGCTGCGCTGTCGGGCGTTGCGCCGCCCACCTGGTCAGGTGGCTGTAACTGGCTGTAACTGGCTGCTCGAAATGCGGATGATTCGACTCCCCGAGTTGTAAGCAAAGTATTTAAGTTTGTAGTCTGTAGGGAATATGTAATGTTTATCCTTAATTTGGAATTCCAGGAAACTGCTGCTTACATATAATTAAAGTTGCTTGAATTATGTTTACATATAAATGTGGATTGTGCTGCAGATAAGGGACATAAAACGAAGGGAAAGTGTGCGCGGGATTTATGGGAAATGAAATCAAAATATACTCCCGACTCGAGCGCCCAGACAATCGTAAAAGCCAAGTTTCCAAAGTTTCCGCCGGCTGCAGCTTAAAGGGTTTGGCGAGCAGCACTTTATGAACCTATTTGGGCTAAGGTCAAAGTTGAAGCCCTTTCGTTTGTGTGTGGGGCACTCCACTATACCAGCACTCGTAAGAGGGCCAGGCAATTGCGTACGAGAGTCCGTTCGTCTTTTATGAATTGCCACTGCAATGAAGCTGGCCAAAGCCAAGTACGCTGCCATATGTTGACGGAGTGCAGCATAAACCAATGGCAGCCGAGCCACAAATCCGAGGCAGTAACAGTTTTAGATGTTTAGAACAGAGTGGGGCAGGACAGGGATGGGGATGGTGATGGTGATGGTGATGGGATGGATGGGCCACTGCGGGTGGCCAAAATGATGACGTCTACAGGCTACGAAAAATGCTGCAAAAGCAAAGGGAAAGCGAGAATGGGAGGAGCAGGAGGCAGGGAGCCCAAAGTAAGTTAAAGCCAAAGCTAAGTCCCTGCAAAAAGCAGCTGAGCAGCGAAGGCGGCCAGAGAGGGACAGCACCAGCGACGAATCGAAACGCGTTGAGTGGGCGCCCAGCGCCCACAGCGGGCGGGAGCCAGAGAGCTTTCCTTCTCCGGAGAGCTTTCTCCCAAGCTTTCTCTTGTGCGGCTCGTACTGGACATTCATAATGGCGTCTGCTCACGACGCTGGCAAACAGTTTTCAGCGCGCAGCGCCCAAGTGAAGTTCGTGGCAGCGCATAAAATTCTGCAGGAAGGAAAACCACCACCACCACCGCCGCACCACAACAACCATTCAGAGAGCCAGCCAACAAAATAGGAAAACAAATCCTCAACCACAACAAAGACAAAACTGATTTTCGGTGCATTGCTCTGCGATTCGCGTGGCAGAAGGAATCCTCTTTCGTGTGCAGTGAAGCGCGGCTTTTATTTTCGACAATTATAAGCTGCCCCGCTACCCCATTCCGCCCCCAAAGACGACATCGAGAGTGTGCTGTTAGCGTTGCCCCATCGTCAGGAAACCATAGCCACAGCACAGCCCCAGAGGAGGACAGGCCGGGAGGACAACGCGTGAGATGTTCATTGCAGCAGCCGCCTGGAGCTGCACTGCTGCTTCATGGCGCCTGCTGAGCGCCGGACTGCTGGCCCTCTGCCTGCTCCAGCTGGCCGCTGAGACGGGTGCCGGATCGAGCGGCGGATTGGGCAATCAGGCCGTGTTCACCAGCTCGTTCCTGGTGCGCTTCCGGCGCAACGTTGACAATGACTTCGCCCACCAGGTGGCCGACAAATATGGTTTCGACAATCTCGGGCCGGTAAGTAATCCACCAATCAATACACAAATGCCAACAAATCCACAGCCATCCCTGTGGATGGCACAGCAGTACACCTGCACTGCAGGCTCATTATTTTAGGTTCGAGGAGCCCGCAAGAGTGCGAAAAATCAATTATTTTATTGCCGTCGGCTTGGGCTTTGCCATCGACTTGGGCCTCGACTTGTGCCTACTGCTGCTGCCATCCCAAATATGGGAGGGCGATAGCGGGCAACACGACATTGCTAACACGCTGCAGTCAGTTGTCAGGCAACTGTCAAGCGTTAATTGTGACTACTTAGGCGTCTCTGTGTGTGTGCCTGTGTGGGTGCTTCCTGTGTGTGTGCCACAAAAACCATGCACTAAAAAAAATATTACGAAATATTTTAACCCAACAGATTTTTTTCCCTAAAGCAATCATACATCTGTCATGGTAACGCTCGAGTTTTATAGTTTGCAGAACTTTTGTTTCTGTGAATTAGGTATACCAAAATATACTGCTTCAACAATTGTTGAAAGAAGAGTTCCTTAAAGAAAGAAAAAACATTTCTAAAAGAGTTTTCCTTGGGTTTACCTAAAATTTCAGACAAAAAGAAAGAGAAGTTTTTTTTTTTAAATATAAACAATTATTTCACAATGTCTTCAGAGTAGAAGGGGCATTCAGAAACCTTTTTTTTTAGAGTGTAGAATATGTTTCACTTTCAGAGAAACAACCGCAAAAGTTTCTGACTTTGGCATTTACAAAACTTCCGTCGGCCGAGAACAATTTCCACTGCATACCCGGCAGGCAAAAAATTGTGGCAGAAAATTCGCGTATTGCATGCTAACTACCCATCGCATTCGGGACAAGGTCACTAGCACCCAGAGCCAGCACCCAGAACCACCTACATGATTACATATGAGAGAGTACTTTCACTTGCCTGCCGCCGACTGGCAGACAGCGTTTTAGGCACACCCCAGTGGCTCGAGACGGCAACGTAATGTGTCTGACGTTTAGAAACTCGTGTCCCCATCAAGGTGCTGCATAATACTCGTATAATCTGGATATGGCCTAGCATTTGACAGCTATTACTTGTTGCATACACTGGGATCGGGTTAACCCAACTCCATGGAAATGGGGAAACAAATGGGTGCCATTAATTGGGGTGCCGTCAATTACCATTGCGATCCATCAGGGTCAGAGGGAAATACTTGTATTAGGCAAGCGTTGAAACCAATTACATTTTTCTTCTATGTATAAGTGGGTAGCACGGCCCACGACTGATTTATCGGAAAGTTGATACCAAGGCCAACACCTGAGACCCACTTGGTGCTGCGGGCCTGATCTGCACCCTCCTCTCCTTCGCTATTCGTTTTCCGTTCTACGTGCCCCGTACTCAATGCTATGTTCTCTATTATCCATTATCCATGCGGGAGTCGTCCTTGTTATCTCGGGACTTTATTGCGACATCGATGCTATTTGCAGTGGAGCAATCTCATCTGTGTCGCCCGCCCCGCACTCTAGCTGATTGCATGCCACGGTTGCCATGCCACTGCCACTGGGCGTGCATTGCAAAAGATAGCATGCCGAGTCGGGGTCTGTGAAAAGTGAACCTTTCTCCCACTAATTGCGTCGAGATGTTTCGCTGCCCACACCCATGACCCTGCCCCTGCCTCTGAAGCAAGGAGCCCTGCAACAACAGTGGCAACAGCAATTCGACTTTAATTAAACGCCCTGCCTGGCCTGGCCTGGCTCGAGCTCTCCATTCCAACTCAAGAGGGACATTTAATTAAGCTCGAGTTGAATTTTCGCTTATTCATTTCATTTTGTAAATTTCAAATGCAGGGATTATTACGCACTAATTTATTTCAAGGAATGTACTTTTTGAGCAAAAAATAGAAGCAAGAAAAATACACTCTCTAGAGTGGCAGATAGACACACAGCATTGTCAGCAATCAGGACACGCACGTTCTTGCAAAAGTGGTAGAGATACACTCAGCTTTTCCATCAATCATAATGTACTTGCCAGTGAAGCAGAGATATACAACACATTCCCATCAGTCGGACTATAATCTGTTTAGGACGAGTACCAGCTATGCAGAAAACATTTCCATCAATGGCTCAGTTAACTGATTTGAGGGGTAACTTTTTTTTAAAAATAGACCACAAATTTAATTACAAATTGCTGCTCGTTGGCCCGTTTCTGTGGGCTTTTCCTTTTGGGCCTTAGATAATTGGCCAGAAACTCCCTCGTCCCTTGTGTGTGGGCGGGGCGCGTGTAATAAAAGTGCGGCACATGTAGCAGTACCGCAACCAAAAAAAAAGCGAACCAAATCTGTTGCTTCCTACGTCAAACGCTATCTACAAATACAAATCAAAATGTATCCTAAACAAAATATTCGCTTTCCAAAGGCAAACACACGGCAAGAGCGGAGCGGGACAGACAGGAGGCAGGGACACGAAACACACTTCAGTTCTCATTCCAATCGATATTGCGTATACGCCGCCGCGTCTTATCTGAGTGTGTTTAGATTTTATTGCCTTTGATGTTACGACCTTATCGGCAGTAAAACGTTAGATTCTGTCAGCTATTGCCCTGCTGGTCCGAGTAGAGTACACGTCGACCCACACAAATCCATATAAATCTCGATCTTCGATTAATGTAATTGCTGGCCGGCAATTTGAATAAGAGAGGCGAGAAAGTCAATTTCGTGCTTAGGTAAATACATATGCTCCCTGATTGTACGTACGCTCTCTGAGGATTTGGCCATGATGATGGAGGCGGGCAATTTTATGCTTGCTGCTCCTTAAAGTGATGGCCGACTGTTACTTGTTGCCACAGCCTCGGCTAATGCCTCAAAGCGGCTCTTCTCCTTTGTGGTGCTTAAAAGTTTACCTACGACTTACTTTGTGGCATCGCTGAGCCTTTGAGCATGCACCATGTGCATACAGGCGACAGGACACAAAGGACAGGTGTTTGTCTGCGGCTCGGTGTGTGTAATAACTTTAAAAGCTAACAAAACACAAAACCCACCTGCCTCGGTACCCCTTGGCGGTTCTGAGGCTGCTGCCTCATGAGCCGCTTGTCGTCGTTGTGAAGCTGTTGGGCAAATCCTTCCATAAAGCGCTAAGTCAAGGCTTGCCTTGACGTGGCCAATGGCAACAGGGAACCGGCAGCAGGCGCTAGTTCATGCACTCCAACCGGGTTTTCGCTTTTGCTTCTGCTGTTTGCCAAGCGATGATAAGCCCCAAGACTAACCCAGCAACAACTTGCCAGGTGAACATTTATTACAGGACTCTCCTCCCCCCGATTGTCACTGACTCTGGCACTCACTTCAATAGAAAATATCTTTTCAGTGCAACTGTCACTGAAATGTCAGTTCTCATCAAATATGCATAGTTTCATATTGCGCCACAAGTTTCTGCTCATAAATAATGCAAGACTGTTGTGACCTTATTAGCAGAGACGTGGAATCGTCCTCTTGCATGGATCCAACCACCCAACCACCCACGAACCGAGACCGACCCCATTTGGTTTTGTGGCAGAAGCTTGGTAAAGACAAATGTCCCAATGACTCGGTGGCTTGACACTGGAGCATTCATCTCCGTTTGCCGATCAACGTTTCGTCTCCGTTTGGCTGTGTTTTCCTTTCATTTATTATGCCAAATGAAAAACGAGTTTACAAATTCACTGTGGCCGCCCGTTCAGAGGCTTGCAAATTAAAGGCACGGACATTTGTAACCCAGGGCGAGCATATGTTGGCAAATACAAGACAAACAAAAGAGGCACACCCTCTGCCCATCCACACAGATAAACGTATACGTACGTACGAGTATTTCTGGTGGACAAACAGAGACGCAGTTGAAGTTGAAGATGGCCAAGGAAAAAGGTCTACCCAGGAGAAAGAGAGAGAGAGAGAGGGACCAAAGCCACAGGCACACATCTCCCCACACACACACAATGCTCTATCACGTATACGCAGTGTTGTGTCCGGGCCAAGCCAAGGCGCATTATTTATTTATTTTTAGCTCTGCGAAACTGCCGGACAAAGGCAGCACCCCTGGTGCCATATGACACCAATCTTCTCCCAGATGGAAGTCTTATGAGTACGAGTCACAACTGGCCTTGAATGCTCTTTCAATAGTTGCGCTAACTAGCAGTAATTTACCTCAGACTAGAGCTTCATAATAGTCAATGAAATGGAGAGAAATTACATATACATATGCATGTGATACATCCTAACAAAGGTGAATTCCAGCCTGTTAGAAATAGAAGAACGTAACAACAAGAACTTCTACCTTGCTCCACAATTTTCTTTAAAACTTAATCCACCTGACATTTAATGATCCCAATCATACATGTATATATCAAAATATATTTAATCGCTGCATCGCTTTCCGACATATACATATTAGTCATCCTTTCTGTTTGAGATTTAATTCAATTTAGATCCCATTAAAAAGTTGATGTTTGCCCAATGTAACTTCACTCTCGGCACATTAACCTGCACCCGATAACTTTTCACTTTTCCATGAGTCAGTCAGCAGTGTGGAACATTTGGCAAATATTTGACAACTTTTCGTTTGCATTTTGGGATATATCAAATTACATTACGCAACCTTGTCCCACGTTCCCTCCTACCACCCTTTTTGGTGAAATATAATTTCATAAAATGTATTTCTAACTATAAATTTTGGCACATAGAGCTGGGAATGGATTTCATTAAGCCCCTAATGATAATTAGAAAGTTTTTGGGTTCCGCCTGGGTCCGGCCACAAATAAATACTACTCATAAATTCCATTATTTTGCTGTCATAGCATTTGGGCTTTAACTAGTTTAGAGATGGGCGGCAGGAGCTCCTGTTTAACGTGTTGACGAGGTGTTTTCAGGGGCATTATTTTATTGGAGTCGCTATAAATAGCCAAACGATGGTAAACAAGCTCAGCTCGGATCAGCTCACACAACGAAACCAATGGACCGTACTCCAGGAGAGGACAGCGGACAGGTGTGCTCCAGTCTGC